CTAGATCCGGGGCTTCAGCTTTCAAACCTCATTTGTCCACTCCCCACCCCCGCCCAGTGTCCGCACCCTTTGATGGGGCGGGGATAGGCGAGATGGGCCAGTGGTTTTCCGCATTCTTCTGGTGAATTAAAATCCGATTCGGAAGAGGGAAGGGCAGCCAGCACCAGTCTGCACAGCCCCCGGCCCCGGAGACCCGGGAAGGGGTAGGGAGGCCGTGCGGTGCGCGGAGGGGTGACCCGGCCCGGCAGGGAGCGGGGAAGGCGCGCATTCCTGGAGGTCGGCGCGGGGCCGAGAGCCGGGATGGGCAGGCGCGGCCGGGATTAGCGGGCGGGCGAGGGCGCAGCGCAGGGAGGAGGAGGGGAGGCGGCGCCAGCGCGGGCTGGGCGGAGGATCTGGAGAGGGAAGGGGCGCGCGAGCCTCGCGGACCCCGGGCGCGCCCGGGCCGCCTGAGCTGGGCCGGCGGCGCGGCGGGCGCGGGCTTGGGCGAGCGGGGAGCCCCGGCCCCGGGGTTGCGACGGTGGCGGGGTCGCGGGACCAGCTGTCCGCGTGGGGCCCGCGCGCGGTGCCTCTGCCTGACCGTGCCCGAGCCTAGCGCGGAGCCCGGCGCGGGGGCCGCGAGCACAGGCCCGGGGCTGATCGTGATCGGGTGAGTCTCATCCGGCAGCGGGGCTCGCCTTCTGGCCGCTCTGCGGGCGATGTGCGCGGTGTTCTCTGCCCTCGGGCTGCGTCTGGCCCGGGCTTCCCTGCCGGCGCTCGGGAAGCGTCAGGCCTGCCCCGGGCATGGCTCACGCGGAGAAGTGTTCCCAGCCAAAGGGACTCCTCCGTCACCGCGGTCGCTCCTGGGACTTGCGGGTCTTGGGTCAGGGCGGTGTGAGTGCTCCATGTTGAGCAGCGGCTTCCCATGGCCACCCTGGAGTGCCCCTGTGTGCCACCCCGTCCTGACAACCAGCCTGCATTTTAACCTGTTCAGAGTGCAGTGCTTGTGTCAGACAGTCCTGTCAACTAGGAATAGACAATTTTGAAAGCTGCTGTCACTGACATTAGAGTTTCTGCAAAGCAGTGTGGCAGAGGTTTGTGGGCTGTCAAGAAGCAACCTACAAAAGTAACTCCAGATGGTTATTTCCCTGACAGCTGGAATTGAGTCATGGAGATTGGAACTCACCCTTAGCTCCGTGCACCAGCGAATGAGTGCAATCTAGTGTAGTGACTGCACTTCAGTCCACCCTACGAAGACCTGTCCCCAAAGCATCAGCCTTGCTCTATGTAATCAGTATGGACAGGAACTAGTGTAGAACTTGCATGTGTATGTATAGAGGCTTCATAGGCATGCCACCACATTCAAGTTTTAAAACACTTGCAGGATGCATCCTGTAAGTTGTGTACACTTTCTTAGACTGTGTAGCATATATAACTAGTCCATAGTTTATGGGGATTAAAGAGGTTCAATGTTATGCATGAAGGACCAGTACAATCCTTGGTTAGAGAACAGAGAAACCAAAGAACCAAAACAAGATGTGAAAGAAAAAAAAAAATAAGAAAAAGAAAAGAAAGGGATTTTTTAGTCTCTGCTGTTAATTCATGATGTTAGTAACTTGTGGTCCCAGAGAGACAGGCCGGTCAGTGGCCGGGGTCCTCGGAGAAAGCCCGTCCCTGTCTTCTTTGTGCTCTTGGGCAATCATTGAGTTATGGACTTAAATTCCTGTTCACCTAGTTTTTTTGTGAATTGTGTGGTCAAGTTTGTATGTTATTACACTGAACTCTGAAGCTCAAGCAATTGCTCGAAAGGAGACACGGAGGGGAAGGGCAGAGAAGAAAAAAGGGTAAATGGAGTCGAGTAGAGGAGTTTTAAGGCATCTAATTCATACTAACTGGTGTAACTGTTACCCAGCTTCCCATTTCCTTCTGCCCTGCATCCCGAGACCTCCTGGCCTCAGCTCTGCATCCAACACAGTGGGAAGCCTGGTCCTGGAAAGGATATGGTGTGATGTGAAGAGACATGAGTTCCTCTGTTTTGTAAATAATTTTCTTAATTTGAAAAGACCTTCCACCTTTTCCCCTGAAAAAGAGTGAATTTCTTAGAGGAAGAAATTATTCATTGAAACAAACTCGCATGCGTCCCTTTCTGAATTTGGCTTTGAAGTTGCACAAAAGGCGGAGGAGGAGCTCGAAGCGGGACAGGTGGTCTTGAGCAGAGCAGACGCTCCATTTGGAGGTGAAAACTGTTCGGGGGAACATCAGCTGCTCAAAGAAGAGCTGTGACTTTTTAACGAGTAAAACGTTATCCAATAATGTCTTGAATTTGCAGAATATTTTCATGTCAGGTCACAGTGTAATCCTATGTTTCAGGCATAAACATTCAGAGTAATTCTATAGTGAAATGAGTTCTGCATTTGAGTTGCTAATTTCATCTTTGCCTGTTAATTCTTTCAACAGAGGGCATTTTTTGTGTGATGAGTGTTATTTCAGGTACTTAGATTAAAAGATGAATAAGGTGTCAAGGTCACAACAAAAGGTTAAAATGTGAAAAGATCTATATAATACAAAATGCTATGGGAGGTCCAAAGAAACAAGAACACAGCATCTTCATAGAATAGCATGTGATGATGATAATAGCAGTGAGAGGACAGGTGCAGTGGCTCATGCCTGTAGTCCCAGCAGTTTTGGAGGCCAAGGCAGGAGGATCACTTGAGCCCAAGAGTTCAAGACCAGCCTGGGAAATATAGTGAGACCCCCATCTCTACAAAACATTAAAAAGTTAGCCAAGCATGATGGTAGACACCTGTAGTCCTAGCTACTAGGGAGGCTGAAGGTGGGAGGATAGCTTGAGGCCCGGAGGTCGAGATTACAGTGAGCTGTGATCCTGCCACTGCACTCTAGCCTGTGGAGCAGAGCAAGACCCTGTATCAAATAATAATAATAACATAATAATAGCAGTGAGCAGGTAAACCTGATTTATCTAGCACTGATTAGACACTTCATATACTTTATCTACAGATGTGGACACTGAATTCAGGAGAGGAAAAGTAACTTGCCTGAAGCCTCAGTGGCAGAGCAAATTTGAACCCCCTATTATTATTCTGTAGATATGTATCATAAAAGAACAATGTTTTAGTTAATTCATTATGCTGGGTTTTTAAATTATTTCTCAGTCATATATTAACTCATATACCAGTATGTTTTTTTTAGTGTTCAAAACAAATCTATTTGATGTAATTTTTAGTTGTTATTTTCTGTCATTAGTATTTGTATATTTACGTAAAAAGTTATTGAGTCACACGTAAACAAGAAATAATTAATGGCTTGAAAGCAACTGAAGAGAGCTAAAGGTAAAGCAGTTTGTCAGCCTAAAGCATGTCCTTCATTCTTTTCTCTGGGGCCCTTTAACACCTTTGTCCTCGGAGTTACCTGGTTGTCCGTAAGATACATAAGCAACAAAGAGAAGAAAAAAAAAAAATCATATAATTCGGCTGGGCGCAGTGGCTCACGCCTGTAATCCCAGCACTTTGGGAGGCTGAGGCGGGTGGATCACGAGGTCAAGAGATCGAGACCATCCTCGCTAACACAGTGAAACCCCGTCTCTACTAAAAATACAAATATTAGCCAGGCGTGGTGGCAGGCGCCTGTAGTCCCAGCTACTTGGGAGATTGAGGCAGGAGAATGGCGTGAACCTGGGAGGTGGAGCTTGCAGTGAGCTGAGACTGCGCCACTGTACTCCAGCCTGGGTGACAGAGCAAGACTCCGTCTCAAAAAAAAAAAAAAAAAAAAAAAAAATCATATAATTCTGTTATTCTCTCTTGCACGAGACATATCTGTGGAAGGTAGATGTTCTTGCTAATCTGTACATGGTAATTAATTTGTTTTAAAAATTCCCTTTGTTGGCTGGGTATGGTGGCTCACGCCTGTAATCCCAGCACTTTGGGAGGCTGAGGTGGGCAGATCACTTGAGGTTAGGATTTCAAGACCAGTTTGGCTAACATGGTGAAACCCTGTCTCTACTAAAAATACAAAAATTAGCTGGGTGTGGTGGCAGGCGCGTGTAATCCCAGCTACTCAGGAGGCTGAGACAGGAGAATTGCTTGAACCCAGGAGGCGGAGGTTGCAGTGAGCTGAGGTCAATTAGGTAGCCTTATAATTGGAAGCAAGAGCAAACTTTTTAAAAATGCATGCTACCGTGGTGTCCTTATTAGAAATACTGAAAGTTGAAGTTTTTCCTAATTCACTACCGTATTTTATGTTAATATGTGTTTTATTTATAAAGAAAAATAAGATTTGTATTGAAAAACAGAAGTTGTTGATTATTAAACATCAGGAAGATATTTTGACTATAGAGGAAGTAAATGTTTTAAGTGGTTCATTGAAAGGACATTTCAATGATTAACAGGAACTGTGCTACACCAGTTAGGCTTAATAGTGTATTTAACATCTAGATATTTCTTCTGTTTTAGTTCTTCATTAAATTTTAATGTTTTCTAACTCTTGAAAACTCATTATACCCACAAACAGCAATGCTAAATTAAAGCGAGTTAGATGTCTGTGTGGCTTCTAAGTGAGTCTAAAGAATTTGATGCTTCTTAATATGGGATTAATGATTTTTTACTGGAGGGCTGGTTGAGTTTTGTAAGTATAAGGGGCCTGGTCAAGGGACAGCTGGGGCCTGACATCCCTGAAATAGTGCGAACTGTTTGGGGCAACTTTTACTTCTCTGGCTAAGTCACAAAAAGTTGATGTTGTCTTCAGTTCACATAAAGGTGCATGTAGGTTAATGGCAACCTTGACTTTAAGAAAAATAAAAATGATAAGGTCCTAAGTCTCAGTTTCTTGAGGATGTGTGGGGTGTGTGTGTGTGTGTGTGCACACGCACGCTTATGCACAGGTGAGTTTGGAGGGATGTGGCAGAAGAAGGGGAGCAACTTTATACAAAAAGGAAATTTTAAAAGTCTTAATGAATAAAACTATATTATTACATTAGGGAGAGTTTTCATGTTTTCTTTTATTTCCAGAAGAGGACTGTCAGAAGGGCCTAGAAGGCACAGTTATACTGTGAGAAGCAAAGATCCTTTACCTACACATTTTACAAGAAATGTGCAGAAAGCCATTGATAAATATGCCTGGTAAGAATTCACCTTGTTCATTGCTTCAGATTACAGAATCACAAAATGCCCGTAACAAATGTGGGAAAGGAAATTAGTGACTGGCCATGAATTTCTAAAAGTGAGATGCAGTTTTATTTTTAACCTAGTGTAAACACCACACTGTAAAAATATTTCAAAATTAGTATACTGTGAAATTAATAAATTTATTTAGTGAAAGAGGAAGCAGGCTCAGAGAAGTGAAGCCACTTAGCCGTCCAAGCCCTTCCAGCAAATGTGATTTTTTTGCCCGTGTTCATTCCTGCAGCGAATCGTCCTTTTCCTCCAGCGGAAGCCGCACACCCACGGGAGCCCACACCTCTTGGTCTGGGTCGGCCACGCAGAGCTCCACCACCGGCTCGTCCACGGAGAGGGGCTCCATTTATTCCTGGAGAGATGACGTATGTCTCAGAATATTCTGGATAATCTTGTAATTACAGTGTATAGTGAAGAATTGCTTCCTTATATTCAAATTTTTTTTTTTACTAATTATAAAAGCATGACCTATTGCATACATACATGTTAAAGCATGTACATGTTACATGTGAAAGTAATAGATCAGGAACTGTGGAGAAAAGTGAAACTCCCTCATGACCTCCTGGCCCCGTCTCAGCGCCCGCAGTGTTCTCGTTTCCACCCTGCAGCCGGCTCTCCCGGTGTGTGCTCCCGGTGCCTTCTTGGTGGTATCCATGGCCGGAAATTCAGGACTTGAAGAGGAAAACAATGTTGGAAAAGTGAAAGCTGTGACAGCCCACTGTGATTAGAGAACTCCCCGCCAGGATTCCCAGTGGGATATTTCACTGTCGCCTCCTATCCCTGGGGGAGCTGTTGCCTCTGAACCGCTTTTGCCTGTGTGAGCCTGGGATTCTGGCTGGGTGAGCGCTGCTTCCACGGCTCCAGCTTGCTCAGGAGCTCGGTGGCTCCACAGTCTCCTCCCTCCTCCTCCCTCCAGGGGTCTCTGAGGATCCCGGGACACAGCCCTCCTTTTGTGAGGCCCACCTGGCTGCAGCACCTTGGGTGTTCTCTTTTACCTCGTTTATGCTGGTGGGTTTTTTTTCTTTCTCTTTCTCTCTCTCTCTCCCCCCCCTTCTCTCTCTCTCCCCCCCTTCTCTCTCTCTCCCCCCCTTCTCTCTCTCTCCCCCCCTTCTCTCTCTCTCCCCCCCTTCTCTCTCTCTCCCCCCCTTCTCTCTCTCTCCCCCCCTTCTCTCTCTCTCCCCCCCTCCCCCCCTTCTCTCTCTCTCTCCCCCTCTCTCTTTCTTTTTTTTAAGACAGAGTCTTGCTCTGTCCCCCAAGCTGGAGTGCAGTGCCGCAATCTCGGCTCACTGCAACCTCCGCCTACGAGGTCCGGGCAATTCTCCTGTCTTTGTATTTTTAGTAGAGATGGTGTTTCACCATATTGGCCAGGCTGGTTTCGAACTCCTGACCTCGTGATCCGCCCGCCTCAGACTCCAAAGTTGTTGGGATTACAGGTGTGAGCCACCGCGCCCGGCCTCTTTGCTTTCTTTAAAAGTGGTTCCCCACTCCCACCGCACACGTGAATCCGCTTCTGTCCGCAGCTGTACAGCCGAGATTCTCAGGGGAGCGGGCAGCGGAGGGAGTCTGGAAGGGACTCAGCTCAGCACTGCTAGGAGGACTTTACACGCAGGCAGCTCCCTTACTTAGGGGCAGCTGCCTCCTTCCCCAGCCTTACGCCCACTCACCGCCGCCGCTCAAGCCCGGCTTCCTTGGTAGAAGGCTGAACGCCACTGCTTTACTCTGTCCAAGTTCTAGGATTCTTTTAGTATAACATTTAATGGAATTACCAGGGAAATCCGTGTAACTTCCATTTATAGAATTAAAAATACTCCAGACCCTATAATTGCTTTTCATTTTAATTTTTAAGAATGTATTTACTTTTCGATGGGAAATATTTGCAAAAGCAACGGAATGCAAAAGATAGAGAAATGAAAGTGAGCCCTCTCCCATGCCCCAGCCACCCAGTCTCCTCCTGGGAGATAAATATTATTATTAGTTTTCCTTTTCTTTGTATTTTAAAAGAAATAATTCAACTCCCCTGTAATCTGGGAATCTGGTTTATTATCAATTTGAGAGAGGAGCTAATGCAGAAAATAACAAATAGCATTCTATGAAAATCAACCTGGACTGACCATCTGGGGACACGTGTGACTGAATACACTCTTTGCCCTGGGGACTGTGAAAATTCTGGCGCTCCTAGAAAACCATGTGGCGGGGATCCTGCCTTGGCTCTGAGAGTTTCAGGAGAGTTGCCTCCCAAATGAGACCGTCTAGGAAGGCTGAGAGGTTTTCTCATCTCTGATTCACTGCAGCCAAGTGTAAGAATCTCCTAAGGCCAGAGGAAAAATTAATACTTGGGCCTCACCCTAATGACCACACTTCTTAGGATAACTGAGGATTTTTAAAAAAATTTTCCCAGTTCATTCATTGAAGGAGGTTAATGGCCTTTTCTACAAAAGTAATTTTCTTTTCTGTGGTATCACCCGAAGAAAAAAAAAATCTTGTATTTTGCAGATGTGCTTAGGTGTGTCAGGCTCTGTGAGGGACAAGTGGCTGCATATATGCGCAGACATACAGATGTGGGCATGTGTGCAGACATACAGATGTGGGCGTGTCTGTGTGTGCAGACATACAGATGTGGGCGTGTCTGTGCAGACATACAGATGTGGGCGTGTCTGTGTGCAGACATACAGATGTGGGCGTGTCTGTGTGTGCGTGGCAGACATACAGATGTGGGCGTGTCTGTGTCCGTGCAGACATACAGATGTGGGCGTGTCTGTGTCCGTGCAGACATACAGATGTGGGCGTGTCTGTGCGCAGACATACAGATGTGGGCGTGTCTGTGTGCAGACATACAGATGTGGGCGTGTCTGTGCAGACATACAGATGTGGGCGTGTCTGTGTGAAGACATGCAGATGTGGGCGTGTCTGTGTGCAGACATACAGATGTGGGCGTGTCTGTGCAGACATACAGATGTGGGCGTGTCTGTGTGCAGACATACAGATGTGGGCGTGTCTGTGTGCGTGCAGACATACAGATGTGGGCGTGTCTGTGCAGACATACAAATGTGGGCGTGTCTGTGTGCAGACATACAGATGTGGGCGTGTCTGTGCAGACATGCAGATGTGGGCGTGTCTGTGCAGACATGCAGATGTGGGCGTGTCTGTGTGCAGACATACAGATGTGGGCGTGTCTGTGTGCAGACATGCAGATGTCGGCGTGTCTGTGCACAGACACAGATGTGGGCGTGTCTGTGTGCATGCAGAAATGCAGATGTGGGCGTCTGTGCAGACATACAGATGTGGGCGTGTCTGTGTGCATGCAGACATGCAGATGTGGGCGTGTCTGTGCAGACATGCAGATGTGGGCGTGTCTGTGTGCAGACATGCAGATGTGGGCGTGTCTGTGTGCGTGCAGACATGCAGATGTGGGCATGTCTTTGTGCAGACATACAGATGTGGGCGTGTCTGTGCGCAGACATGCAGATGTGGGCGTGTCTGTGCAGACATGCAGATGTGGGAGTGTCTGTGCAGACATACAGATGTGGGCGTGTCTGTTTAGACATGCAGATGTGGGCGTGTCTATGTGCATGCAGACATACAGATGTGGGCGTGTCTGTGTGCACAGACATACAGATGTGGGCGTGTCTGTGTGCACAGACATGCAGATGTGGGCGTGTCTGTGTGCAGACATGCAGATGTGGGCGTGTCTGTGCATGCAGACATGCAGATGTGGGCATGTCTGTGTGCAGACATGCAGATGTGGGCGTGTCTGTGCATGCAGACATGCAGATGTGGGTGTGTCTGTGTGCGTGCAGACATGCAGATGTGGGCGTGTCTGTGCAGACATACAGAAGTGGGCGTGTCTGCGCAGACACGCAGATGTGGGCGTGTCTGTGCAGACATAGATGTGGGCGTGTCTGTGTGCACAGACATACAGATGTGGGCGTGTCTGTGCAGACATAGAGATGTGGGCGTGTCTGTGTGTGCAGACGTACAGATGTGGGCGTGTCTGTGCAGACATACAGATGTGGGCGTGTCTGTGTACAGACGTACAGATGTGGGCGTGTCTGTGTGCAGACATGCAGATGTGGGTGTGTCTGTGTGCGCATACAGATGTGGGCGTGTCTGTGCAGACATGCAGATGTGGGCGTGTCTGTGTGCACAGACATACAGATGTGGGCGTGTCTGTGCAGACATACAGATGTGGGCATGTGCGCAGACATGCAGATGTGGGCGTGTCTGTGCAGACATACAGATGTGGGCGTGTCTGCGCAGACATACAGATGTGGGCGTCTGTGCAGACATACAGATGTGGGCGTGTGTGTGCGCAGACATACAGATGTGGGCGTGTCTGTGTGTGCACAGACATGCAGATGTGGACGTGTCTGTGTGCGCAGACATACAGATGTGGGCGTTTCTGCGCAGACATACAGATGTGGGCGTGTCTGTGCAGACATAGATGTTGGCGTGTCTGTATGTGTGCAGACATACAGATATAGGCGTGTCTGTGTGTGTGGACATGCAGCTGTGGGTGTGTCTGTGTGTCGACGCTGATGTCTATGGCAGTGTGAACACCTCCACCTATACCTGTATCTATGCAAATTCTCGAGTCTCATCACTCCCGTGGTAGAAGTTTTCTCTGTTTAACAGTAAAAGAATCTGAGGCTCAGCGTGAGATGGCATTTCTCTGAAAGGTAACAGCTGGAGCACGGGTGTGTCTGACTGCAGAGCCACCTCCTTTTTACCATGTCATGTGCCCTCCTACATGGTGGGTTACGGTAAATGTATAAGTAGCATTGATCCAGAAGCCCGCATTTCTGTAACTTTTAGGGTCGTAACTAAATGTGCATTTCTGTTTAGGAGTTTGACGAAGCCAGTGCACAGACAGTGCAGCGGTTACTCTGGGAGGTGGAGGAAATGTTATTTGAGGAGAAAGTGAACCCTCAGACCCAGAGTCTGCTGGCCGAATGCGAGGAGTGGACAAGAAGATCCCTCCATCTGAGGTGGGACCTTGGTGGTGGAAGTTCTCTGGGGTGGGTTTTCGAAGCGCCCACCCCTGGCCTGCCTCGATATGATCAATACATTTGGTCTGAAAGCACCTGCCCAGTCGGAATATGGATGCAGAGTACGGTCCTTCACTGAGAGGTCATTGTCTTCTTACGGTGTCTGAGGAAATACTGAGACATTCCAGTACCCAAGTGCCTTTTAATTTGCAAGAAGCAAATTCGGCTCATCCTGAGAAGGGCATTACACATACAATGAATGCAAGAACGGTGGAGGCCACCTCTTACCTTCACATTCACTGTGTGTGAGCAGCACGTGTCTGTCTTCATCACAGAACACAGCGAGGGCGGGCAGTGATGATGTGCGGAATGGCTGGATAGATGGGTCTTCCCATCTCACCCATTCCTAATGTAGGGAGGAGTATGTGTTACTTTTTATATCAAAGATGGAGAATATGGATGGGGTAAGAAGGCAAGCTTTTCTTTCGGTCACTCAGCCAATGTACTGGAGGACAGTTTAGCAAAGTTACCTGAGTTCCTCTAGATTCTATCTGGGGAGAATCAATTAGAACACTCGTGTAAATGTGGCTGGATTTTCTGGTTACATTCACGAGATAACTTTTACAGAAATCTTGACCAAACTAGAGTTTTTCTTTTTTTTTCTTTTCAATCCTGATAAGTCACCTGCCCTAAAGAGTATGATATGTCCACTAGATACTAGTTGTGGAAATTCACTTTTCTGGGGATGGTCACTCACCAAAAATTTGGGAGCTCAGTCTTACTGTTGTCACTGCTATCTTACATTATTGATAGAAATGGAGGGAAGGTGGGAAAAGAAAAGATTGCCAGGTACATAACCAAGTGTGCATATTTCTATGTTTTTCTTCTTGTTATGTTTGTGTTTAACTGTGCATTAGTTAGTATCTATGGAGAGCTTCTATGTGCCCAGTGTTGCCTTAGACACCTAAGTCTGTCATATATGATCTCTAAGCCGTTCATCAACCCTGCAAGGTAACCATTATTATCCTGTTTTGCAAGTGAAAGACAAACAAATGAAATTAGCCTGAGAACCTTGCCTGAGACTGAGCCAGTGGAAGAACAATCTGGCCTAAACTCTCAAAGTCACGCTTCTTCTATGATGCGTGATGCTTCCCACATACCCATACACGCTTCGTATCATACACATGCCTTCAAAATCATTGTTTCCTACTTTTAAAATCCCCAAACCTTTTCCCTTTGTCTGATCAAAAATGTTACTAGCTTCTCTTTGACCTTGCAGAGTGTTAGGAGGACAGCTGACCCTGCCCACTGATGAAGGCGTCCAGCATCTCCAGGGCAGCACCGCTGCCTCCACGGCCCACAGACCCCCGCTCAGTGCCTGCGGACGCAGCAGCAACATCAGAGAGTATGTTCACATGAGTGACTCTCAAGAAGTATTGTTAGCTGTATTTTAGTTATACTTTTTAATGTTTATCTCATCTACAAGCCTGGGCTCCACCTAGTTTGGAAATTTAGATTCTGATGAAAGGCAGATACAGAGAACAGTTTTTGTAAGAAGCTCTTGATTCTGAATTGATGATAGGCGTATGTGTGTGTCTATAGAGAGATGTGTAATGTATGTATATGTGGAACACACATGCTCACACGTGGTAGTTACCTTCCACGTTTGTTCCAAAGACGCTGCGAAAGGTGGACTGGGTGCAGGATGGAAACTGCCTCACTGGGATGGATTACAAGCCTCCAGGCAGTGGCAGCAGGAGAAATGAAGCTCTGTCCTGTCATTTCTGTTCACTAGAGGATTTTGATGACTCTATGCCATTCACACGTATCTGGTGTGCCGTGACACAATGCAGTCCTTTCACTGCAACCAAAGAGGGTACAAACTCGTAGAATAATTTAGGCTTTTAAGAAGCCCTTATGATTTTTAATGATGCCTGTATTAAAGTGTTTTTAAGGACATGAGTTTTGTCCAATGTAATATTCAATCGTTTTGGGGGGGATTCTGTACTTTAAAGATAAGTTAAAGATCCGCCATGATCATTTAAGCATTGCGTTCTTGGTGTCCTGTAAACTCCCATGTGGAATCTGTTTTTTCCCCATAGGTTGTGCATTTCTGGCTCTCAGATAGTCCCAGCAGCGCTCTCAGCCTCTGCCCTGCCAGGCCCTGATGGGACGGGGGTTGCTGACCTAACGGCATGTTCATCCCTGGAAGAAGAGGTTTACCATGTGGATGGAAAGATTGAAGAGTATTTCGCTTTTGACAGAAAAGAGGAGTAAATAGAATCTTATTTGACATTGGCCTCTTAAAATAATATTAATTTATTTGACATTATTGTTATCGTATGGTCATTAAGTGTTTTGTGTATTTTTTACTCACCCAGAAGATTTCTGTTCTTTTGAGAGTAATGCACTCCCAGAGCTTTTGGATTCCCAGCAGGCAGCGCCTGTGCGGGAGCAGTGAAGAGGGTGTACAGCGCCCTTGTAAAAGCAGACACGGCTCCTCGCGGTCCTGGTGCTGGGGACTCCGGATTCCCCATCCCTGGCTGCCCAAAAGGGCCTAAGGAGAGTCCCTGCCTCTGCACTAAATTCATATTTTGTTCTTAATCAAAAACTACAACTATTACATGATAAAAATTTGCCCCATGATTGAAAATTGGCACATTAAAAAGTAACACTGATAAAACCAGTCTTAACAAATTTAAGAAGCATCTTCTCTGATCTCAGTGGTACGAAACTGAAAGTCAGTAACAGGAAGGAAACTAGAAAACTCCCAAATATATGTAAACTAAACAACCCGCTCCTCAACAACCAGGCAGTAGGTCAAAGAAGAAATCAAAAGGGAAATCAAAAACATAACGAGACAAATTAAAATGGAAACACAACATATTAAAACCAAACTTACGGGATACAGTAGAAGCAGCTCTAAGAGGGAAGCCTATGGCAATAAATGCCTACATTGAGAAAAAAGAAATATCTGAAATAAACAACCTAACTTTATACTTGAAGGAATGAGAAAAAGAACAAACTAAGCCCAAACTTAGTAGAAGGAAGGAAATAACAAAGCTCCGAGCCGAAATAAATGAAGAGACTAGAAAAAGAGAAAGATCAGTGAAACCAAGACTTCGTTTCTTGTTTTGTTCCCCCCACCCAGTTTTATTCATGTGTAATTGACAAAATATGTGTATGTTGAAAAAGAACAATGCTGTTTAACGAAGAATGTTTATTAATATATGTATAAATGTACATACATGAATGTGTGTAGATAGAATTATTTTAACTCTAAGCCTTGATATTTTAGTAATTGGAGTGGGTTTTTATTCTTAGTGATGATGAATGTCTTGAACAAAAACCAGCTCAGCCTGGTAGGAAAAGGCGCAAACTCGGACTTCCTCCTGTTTCCCCTCATGAGTGTGTCAAAGATGCCGTGATGGCGGAAGTGTTTGATCACGTCTGGACAAATATGGTAGAACTTTTGGAAGAGCTGATTAGAAAGCACTGGGAAACTACACTCACAGGTACTTACGTGCAGAATTGGCTTAATGAAAAGAAAAAGTCCCTGTTCCTCAGCCCTGGGCTCCTGCTCCCCAGGAGCCATACCTAGAACACGGTCAGTGAGAAGAAAAGTGGGCGTTCTGACTTTACTCACGAGTGCTCCTTAGTCCCTTCAAAAAGGACGCTATTGTTTTTTGTGTTATGAAAAATAATGCAGGGCTGATTGGGTGCGGTGGCTCACGCCTGTAATCTCAGCACTTTGGGAGGCCGAGGCAGGTAGATCACCTGAGGTCAGGAGTTCAAGACCAGCCTCGCCAACATGATGAAACTCTCTACTAAAAATACAAAAATTAGCCTGGCATGGTGGCACGTGCCTGTAATCCCAGCTACTCAGGAGGCTGAGGCAGTAGAATTGCTTGAACCCAGGAGTTGGAGGTTGCAGTGAGCCAAGATTGTGCCATTGCACTCCAGCCTGGGCAACAAGAATGAAACTCATCTCAAAAAAAAAAAAAAAAAAAAAGCAGAGCAGGCATGGTGACTCAGAACTTTGGGAGACCAAGGCAGGAGAATTACTTGAACCCAGAGATTCAAGGCCAGCTCATTTTGGGCAACATAGCAAGACCCTGTCTCTTCAAAAAATACAAATAAAAAGTTAGCCAGGCATGGTGGCAAGTGCCTGTAGGCTCAGCTACTCAGGAGGCTGAGCTGGGAGGACCCCTTGAGCTCAGGAATTCAATATTAAAAGTAAGCTATAATCGTGCCACTGCATTCCATCCTGGGCAAAAATGCGAGACCATCTCCCCCCAAAAAATAACAATGCATACGCGTCTGGAAAACATACAGAAATACACAAGAACAAGGCTTGAAGTCACGTTTTTTGTTATAGTAAAAATAATTTACCTAATTTCTACTAATAAGAGATATGTTTTTAATTGTTCATGACATTATCTGTAATGTAAAATGTAAACATAGCTAAATGAATAATCCTTTAGTTATCTTACTTCAACATATAAAATATTCTCTAAACATAACATTGAACAAAACAAATAAAAATCGGTGATGGACATTAATGACTAGTTTTATTAATCAGTTTGTACAATAAGGCAATAATCATGTTAACCTAAATCCTGTTCTTTTTCCAGTATTTAAGGAATTAGTTGGGCTTTGTGATGTGCTGAGAATCTTTATTGCCCACTGTGTAATCCACTTCTCATGCCACTGCAACCACAGTTACAGCAGCCAGTTGCCCCATACGGGTCTCTGCCCTCTGTAGTAACGTGCATAGTGGCCATAGCATGGACTCGTGGTAGCTCAAGAACAAAGATTCTCTTTTAAGAGTGAATTTTAAGTATTTGTATTAGATAATCTGATGTTTCTTATCATATTGATTCTTCTTTTGATACAGAAGGGAAAAAACAGAGAGAAAAATTGAAAGTAGCTGGAAACAGATGTCCACATGTCCTCATTCCACACACTCACGCTGATGGAGCCAGTGGCTCCCCGTCCGGAAGCTCCGAGGCTCACAGCATCTCCCTGGCTTCTCGTCTGAACCCGCCCCAGGTCGGTGCTTTCACACCCTTCTCCCTCTCGCCTTCAATCTGTGTGTCTCTCGCCTCAGTTTGTCAGGAGTGCCGTTCTAGTAAGCTGTAGTATTGAGATATTTGGGGCTGCTTGCCATGCTGCCTGCAGAGGGGTCCATGCAGGCTTTCCATGGTGACTTAAAGGGAAACCTTCACAGTGTCACGATGCCTGGAGCCCTTGACGTCCTGCCCATGAAGGACGAGGTTGTCCTCAAGTTCCTTGCAGTAGGAGCCCACGCAGGTGGCACCACCCTTGGCTTCCAGATGGAGCAGTATATCCACAAAAGGAACAGTGGTGGCATCTCTGTCAGAAATCTGAAGGGACCTGGGAGAAGCTGCTGCTGGCAGCTCGTGCCATTGTTGCTGTTGAACCCTGCTGAGGTCCCTGTCGTGCTCCAGGAACAGTGGCCGGTGGGCTGTGCTGCCACTGGGGCCACTCCAGCTGCTGGCCGCTTCTCTCCTGGAACCTTCACTCACCAGATCCAGGCCACCTTCCGGGAAACACGTCTGCTGGTGGCCACTGATCCCCGGGCGATCACCGGCTCTCAGAGAGGCGTCTTGTGCTAACCCACCTCCCGTTGCTCTGTGGAACGCAGATTCTCCTCTGCGCTGTGTGGAAGTCGCCATCCCGTGCAACAAGGGAGCTCGCTCAGTGGGCCTGAAGAGGTGGCTGCTGGCGCAGGGAGTTCTGGGCATGTGTGACACCATCCCCCAGGAACACCCATGGGAGTCCACGCCCGACCTCTGCTTCTGCAGAGACCCTGAAGAGATTGAGAGGGAAGAGCAGCCTGCTGCTGGTGCCGCTGTGGCCAAGGGGGAGTTTCAGGGGAACGGACTACCCCAGTGCCTGCTGAGCACTGCCCCCGCCTGAGGCTGCAGACCCAGCCCAAGTACACCGCCGCCCAGCCTGAGGCTGCGGACCCAGCCCATGTGTGCACCGCCGCCCAGCCTGAGGCTGTGGACCCAGCCCAAGTACACCGCCGCCCAGCCTGAGGCTGCGGACCCAGCCCAAGTACACCGCCGCCCAGCCTGAGGCTGTGGACCCAGCCCAAGTACACCGCCGCCCAGCCTGAGGCTGCGGACCCAGCCCAAGTACGCCGCCGCCCAGCCTGAGGCTGCAGACCCAGCCCAAGTACACCGCCCCCCATGCTGAGGCTGCAGACCCAGCCCAAGTACACCGCCGCCCAGCCTGAGGCTGCAGACCCAGCCCAAGTACGCCGCCGCCCAGCCTGAGGCTGCAGACCCAGCCCAAGTACGCCGCCGCCCAGCCTGAGGCTGCGGACCCAGGCCAAGTGCACCGCCGCCCAGCCTGAGGCTGCGCACCCAGCCTCTATGTGCACTGCCGCCCAGCCTGAGGGTGCAGACTCAGCCTCTATGTGCACTGCCGCCCAGCCTGAGGGTGCAGACCCAGCCCCTGCATGCACTGCTGCTCAGGGTGAGGCTGCAGACTGCTCTGAAGGTGCAGGTGCCCCCTGTGCCTATTTAGCAAGTCCCTACTGCAGACTGGAGCACTCAGCCTGCCAGGGAAGCCTGTTCTACAACTCCCAATGCTCAGGCCCCTGAACGAGGAGGATCAACCACTGAGCGGTCTCAAGCTGTTCTTCCACAGGCCACCAGCAAGGTGGAAATAAGGCTGATGGAAAATAAACATCAGTTTCTATTTAAAACAATGATATTCAGGTCTGTTTACAACGTGATTATTTCATGAAATTTAACAGAATTACCACATGGTGCTGCTTTGAGATGTGAAGCTGTTTTCTATATTTTGGGACATAAAAAATGCTTTCCCCCTAACATTTCCAGCTAGTTTGAAAATTATAAATGTTCTCCCTTCCTTCCACCAAAGTGATGAAAGAATCGGTGAGTATACATTGGGCTTACTCAGCATTTACTGGTGGTAGTTAAGGCGTTTTGAGGAGATACAGAGGTAAATCCTAGTGATATAAAAGCCGTGACACAGGGTTGCGTGCGATACATTCTGTGAGGGTCGCACAAAAAAACACAAGCAAAAACAAACCTTGTAGAATAATCAAGGAGTGATTTGTTCTGATTACAGGAGGGGATTGGTCTTTTACACTGGAGGTAAAATTTGAGCAGAAACATGAAGGAATGAGCAAGGCTCTTGTGGGAGAGAACTCTGGGTGGGCCTTTTCAGGCCAAGCAAAGGCGGGGATGAATAAAAGATGGGGCCTGTTTGGGGACTGTGACTGGGCTGAGCTTAGGGGATAAGAAACTGGGAACCGCAGCATAGTGTCAAGAACGGGGATTAGGAATCAAGAGGCCTGTGAGGAGTATTCTTCTGGACGTGGTGTTTAACTTTTCTGAACTTTAGTGTCCTTGGCTTACAATGAGATTATTATCTTGTCCAAGGGATTATCATGAGGATAAAATCATAGAAATACCTGAGAGCTCCTCCCACAGGGGCCAGCACATACTGAGCGCTTAATACATTTTTCTTGAAAGATGTGATCGCAGGTGAGGCTGGAAAGGACACGCTTGTTCACGCGAGGCCTGTCGTGGTGCCAAGGAGGTTGTTTCCGCTGCCTGCCTTGTGTGGGGGAGCAGGGAACACGGGTAAGGCAGGATTCCTAGTCCTGAGCTACACAGAATCTAGTATAGCTGGAGGGAGTCCATGCCAAGCAACACACACCACACCACATACACACACCACACCACTCACACACACACACACACTAGACACACCACACACCACATACACACACCACACCACTCACACACCACACACACACTAGACACACCACACACCACATACACACACCACACCACTCACACACACACTAGACACACCACACACCACATACACACACCACACCACACCACTCACACACACACACACTAGACACACCACACACCACATACACACACCACACCACTCACACACACACTAGACACACCACACACCACATACACACACACACCCCACACCACTCTCACACACACACACTAGACACACCACACACCACATACACACACACACCACACCACTCACACACACACACACACTAGACACACCACACACCACATACACACACCACACCACTCACACACACCACACACACACACACCACACCACATATACACACCACACCACTCACACACTAGATACACCACACACACACATACACACACTACACATACCACGCCACTCACACACACACACTAGACACACCACACACACCATGCCACTCACACACACACCACACACACACCCCACACCACTAACACACTAGACACACCACACACCACACACACACCACACCACATACACACCACACCACTCACACACACCACACCCACACACGAGACACATCACACACCACACACACACACCATACCCAAACACTAGACACACCACACACCACACACACACCACACCACTCACACACACACACTAGACACACCACACACCACATACACCACACCACACACACTAGACACCACACACACACCACTCACACACACACTAGACACACCATACACACACACACCACACCACACACCTGACACACCACACACTAGACACACCACACACCACACACACACCACACACACCACACACACACTACTCACACACACACTAGACACACCATACACACACACACCACACCACACACACTAGACACACCACACACACTAGACACACCACACACCACACACACACCACACCACACACACCACACACACCACACACACACACCACACCACACACACACTAGACACACCACACACACACCACACCACACACACACACTAGACACACCACACACCACACACACACCACACCACACACACATACTAGACACACCACACACACCACACACACACACCACACCACACACACTAGACACACCACACACACACCACTCATACACCACACCACACACACACACTAGACACACCACACACACACACACACCACACCAGTCACACACACACTAGACACACCACACACACACACCACACCAGTCACACACACACTAGACACACCACACACACACACTAGACACACCACTCACACACACCACTCACACACACTAGACACACCACACACACCACTCATACACACTGCATACATCCGCCCCACACACCCCACACAAACACACCACACACCGTACAGCACACACCAAACACATACCACATACACACCAAACACATACCACATACACACCACACACACCACTCACATACACTAGACACACCACACACTGCACACATTCCCACACACACACCCCACACAAACATACCACACACACACTACACACCAAACACATACCACATACACACTACACACAGCCATGCACACACACACCACACACCACTCATACACACTGTACACATTCCACCACACACCCCCCACACAAACACACCACACACCATACACCACACACACCACACACCAAACACCACATACACACACACTACACACATACACCACACACACCACTCACACACACTGCACACACCCCACACACACACCACACACCCCACACAAACACACCATACACCAAACACCACATACACACACACTACACACATACACCACACACACCACTCACACACACTGCACACACCCCACACACACACCACACACCACACACCCCACACAAACACACCACACACCATACACCACACACACCACACACTATACAAACACATACCAAATACACACATAGATACACACACCACACACACACACCATGCACACCCCATAGATGCACACATACCACATACACACCATACACACACCACACACATACACCACATGCATACACAACCCACAACACACCACACATGTACACCCCCCTACACACACCACACACACCCCCCCCACACACCCACACACCCCCCACATACACACACACCTTCACACACAAACACACTCCCACACACCACACACACCACACCACACACACACACGCACACCTCCTCACACGGGAGGCAGTCGAGCTGACAGCAGAGTGAAGCTTGCATATATAGACTACTAGTTCTGAGCTTGACGTCTTTATTTAATACTCCATGATTTTAAATCAGTCCCTGTGTCTCAAAACCTCAGTTTCCTGATTTATGAGGTAGGAAGCTGTGAGAATTAAGGGAGAGAAAACATTTCGTATAGTGTGTGGTGTAGAGTGGGCGTTCAATAAGTGTTACCTTTTATAATCAGATGCTAATTATATATTGGTAGTATATATAGTCCTTCATAATTAGATGTTTGTGTAATTTAAAATTAGATGTAATATTTTGTAATCAGATTATATATATTTTATAATTAGATGTGTTTTGGATCCTAAGTGCTCTGGGAGTCAGAGGAAAAATATACTTTTCACAGCGTAGGGTAAGATATGAACCAAGCCCTAAATGATAGGTGTGATTTGTTAAAATGAGAAAGGAAGGGAGGCTCTTCAAAGCAAAAGCAAAACTGCACCTGGCACAGGAGCACCTAAACCGTGGGTCTTTGTGAGACTGAAGGACACAGGCCTGAACAGAATCCGTGCTTCAGGGGGCAGTGGGGAGAACAGAGCGCCTCAGAGGTTTGTTTCACTCTCTTGTGTGAGGGCTTTACGAGAAGCCTTCTGTGCCTTTTCTGTTCTAAAGAAACTTGCGGAATTGCTACCTGCTTATTGTATTTTTTTGGTCTCTTTAAACGGCTCTGCCAAGTTCAATACAGTATTTCCCACTTTTAAAAAAACAGGCATCATGAATATCACAAAAAGAGCAGTGGATGAACCTTTTAATATTAGGCAAAATAAACAGACGTGGAAAATACGGAAATTCTAGAAGCTGAGGCATTTTAAAAATAGCTGTTTTGTTTTTATAATTACTCTGTTTGGATAAGTGTTAAAAAAATAAATGAACAGCAAAGTTAACAGAGTAAAAATAGAGCCTGTTTTGAAATACTCAAGATGTTCTAGTGGTAATTATGAAAGCTCTTAAGTTATTCCTTTGCGTATGACTGTGGTGGCCACATCTGTTCATGAACTAGAACAGAATTCCAGTTCCAGAAATCCTGTTCTCGTGAATCTAAATATTATTCTTTAAAAAAATGTTTAATTTTACTTTAAGTTCTGGGATACATGTACAGAATGTGCAGGTTTGTTATACAGGTATACATGTGCCATGGTGGTTTGCTGCACCTGTCAACCTGTCATCTAGGTACATGATTTTAAATCCTAGTTGGTCATGTTGTGGGACTGAAGAGGGAGTTGAGAATTACTTAGCCCTTAGCTCACGCTTTCTGTCATCTCATTTAATTCTCACAATAGCTCTGTGAAGTATGTATGATTTTTCCCCAATGTAAAGATGAGGCCATTAAAGCCTAAGAACAAAGTAAGCTTTCGAGAATTACAAATCAGGAAGCAGTCAGAGCTGGGATTCAGACGGAAGCTTTCCAGGGCCCAGGCCATCTCACTGCTTCTGGGAAGAGAACCCAGGCAAGTATGGAGGGGAGGAGAGGAGAGGTCCGGGCAAGCAGGCTAGCCAGGAGCCGTGATGCCCAGCCTGTGCTGCTCCCAGTTCTCTCTCTGCCTTCCTCACCCTGGAGTTACCAGAGGCTGATACACGTTGACCACACCGGGGCTCCTTGCCCTCCAGCCTCTGGGATCTCAGAGCTTGGGGGGAGACTGAAGCACGGCTCTGCTTCCCTGCAGCCTCCCTGCTGCCTCCCTGCCAGGTCACCCTGGGCTGGTGGCGTTTCTACCCCGTGCAGCTACCCTCTCCGGGTGCAGGAACCTCTCCCTCACTTCTGGCCACTTTTGGCCAGGTGTGCTGAACGTCCCTACTGTCGGGGAATTAACCAGTTCGTTGTTAATGTCTCAGCCCACATCTTTATAAAATATCTCCGCTTTATTAGTTTTTCCTCCAGTTAGCTGGTGAGTGTGCTGTGTGTTTCCTGCTGGTTTCGGACAAGCGTCAGTCATTGGAACAGCACTGGGCGTTTGTAATTTTTTTTTTTTTTTTACTGTTCTCAGATTCATCGCTTCTCCAACAGTTTTTATAGTGACATGAATGGCGTCATGACAATTCACGCAAAACCGCTTCAGCGGAGACCTACCTATTTCGCCGACAGAACGCAGTACGTATCAGAATTAGTAGTAGTTACCCAGCCTCTTCCCTGGGCTGCAAACACTGGAGCACTGAAGATTGCAGGGGGCATGAGATCACGAAGGTCCCACTGAATTCCAGGCTTCGGATGTGCCTGAGCACGTCTGGAAACGCAGAAACAGACCCTTCAGTACCAACCACACGACAGTTACTATCGTGTATTTGGTTGGGAGAGATGGGGAAGGGGAATATAGTCCTGAAATTCTGAATCTTGTGGGCTTGGCTGTTGGATTACTAACAGTGAAAACCTTAGCTCTCTTCCTGTGGATGATTCTTCTTTGAAACAGAAATGGAAATGATGGGTCTTTTCATTCGTTCAGCCAGTGCTTAGGAGTGTGTTCTAGGTGCCAGACTGTTCTAGACGGTCAGTGCTCAGCTGAGCACAGACAGGTGCGTTCCCTGTTATCCCAGCACTTGCAGCTGAGTAGCTCACAGGATTTCCTTCCCAGGAATGAGAAGGAGGACAAAGCCTCGGGTGGAGGGGCAGGTGCTCCCTCCTGCGCACGGCACAGACTGGGACGGGCCTCAGACACTCATGGATTACCGCCTTCTGCAAAGCAGACACCCGTGCCCTGGAGGCTGCCTTCTCTTGTGTCAGATTCTCAGAGACTCAAAACCCCCAACATCTATAGTGACGAAGTTCTTCGGGGAACAAAACTGTGAGTCTCGTTTCTCTCGTAGTAAACTAAAGGTCATGCAGGACCTAGACGCTTGCCAGTTAGGGTTCATGGATCATCCCGGACAAATCATCCTCTATCCAGTTTTACATAGACGCTGTTCTAATGAGTTCATTGAGTATTTAACATTCTGCTGACTCCAGTGGTCTGCTTAGCTGTATACTAGGACACAAGGTCAGGACATCACACAGCTCATTTCGCCTGTGTGATGGTGGGGTGACCTTGGGTGGATTTCAGTGGACTCGTCTGTGAAATGAATAATTAGCTAATGCCTTCCAATTACATAATTAATACTTTTTAAGGGGAGGTTTAAATAAAATAATGTATATAAAATGCTATAAAAATAAAAGGACTGTGTCCCTATCGGATTATGTTTAAGGATGCCTTTCTAGGTGGGAGTTTCAGTAAAGCTTTCGATCTCAGGGATGCACATCCCGTCATGGCCTCATTAGAAAGGTGTTTGTCTCTTGCCCTCCAGCTCACTTACCAGTATCAGCCAGTACTTACATTGATAATAACAGCTAATGTTTATTGATCGCTTTCTTTGTTATCAGCACCAGGTAAATGAATTACATTTATGATCTTATTTATTCCCCACCACAAACCTTTATATGGTTGGGACTCATACCATCCCAAATCTGAGACAGGAAACAGGCTAAGCCTGCCAGAGATCATCCCCGCCAGGAAGAGGCCCACCCGGACACACCCACAGTCTCTCAGGCTTTAGGGACCACCCACTGGACCCCCGGCCTGCAGGGGGGTGGTTATCTGGAGCTGGGCTCAGGAGTGGGCGGCTGCCAACACTTACCTGGCACCCGGACTTTTTCCAGATGCAGTCGTAAAGCCCCTTTCAGCTTTTTAATTGGTGACTGTTTCTTTCACAGTTTGGGACTGATGTTTCCAGCTGTGTTGTGTCTGCTGTGCTGATTCCTTCGAGATCCCTCTCCCTCCTCTGCTTCGCTTCCCCCCATGCCAGTCAGCAGCACCCGGTGCCAGTCAGCAGCACCCGGTGCCAGTCAGCAGCACACGGTGCCAGTCAGCAGCACCCGGTGCCAGTCAGCAGCAGACGGTGCCAGTCAGCAGCACATGGCAGGCTTTCTCCTCCTGCCCCAGCCTACCTGGGTCCCCCGTCACACCTTCATCAAATAGAAACCCTGTATGTTTCCTACTGAGATACATTCAGATGCCTCCGATTGTGCCAGTCCCTCTGTGTTCTGACCCCTCCCTCCCTGTGAGCTGGTGATTTTTCAGCTTTCTTTTTATTATTGCCACCCTGAGGAGCCCTTTTAGACCATTCTTCCCAATTGCTCTCCCTACACATGGAATTGTAGTCCCACAGACAGCCTGTTTTTCTGTGTGCATAGCTGTGCTCTACACATACGAGGGAAGCCGTGGCTTCAGAGGGGCCAGTGCCCTCCCCCTTTGGTGATGCTGCCTCACCTGTGTCCCCCGGCTTCTCACCTGCCTGAATTCTCACCTACCAGCCTCACTTTCCCTCTGACCCCCACACACACCAGCTCTGCGTCTTCTCCCCTCCATCCTCTGTCTTCCACTTGTATCGAGATAACATTTTCCCCCAGTTATCAGAGTGCTATAAGTTCCCTGGGGAGCACCAGGATAATACCACAAATAGCAGAAATGAAAGACCTCTTGTGTGCCCATCGCACAGAAGCATCAACATCACAGCTGTTGGCAGATTTCCTATCACTTGCCAGTTATCCATGTACCTGGGTGCTCAGTGACATGATGCTGTGTTGCAGGCCGACTGGCGTGGACCACATGGTTTCGCCACTGGTTCAGACATCACGGAGCAGGTTCCCCCCGATAGGCGTGGAGACCAGGGAGCAGAATACGGCAGTTCCTGGATGCCGCCTTGTGTCTGTAAGACAGATTTCATTGTATTTCACTGGACCATTTAGGTTCTATATTGGAAAACAAACAAAAACAACCTTGGCACTTCCAAGTGACACTAGTAACATAAGATCTGAGTGGCTATTTTCAAATGCCTTCATAATCTGTTTCCAGAAAGTAAATGAATGGCTTGTGAGAATTTACAGGGAGTGAGAGGCTTAATTCACCATTTTGTGAAATAGAAGCATGTCTTGAACTAAATCAGAAATTCCAGGTGTCAAGGAAACCTCTGACAGGATGGTGGAGCAAAGAAGAGAGCATGAGATTTGGTCAGGAGACAGGCAGGTCCGCGTGGATCCTGCCACAGAAACTCTCTTCTATGACTTGGTACAAGTCACTTTAATCTCCCTGAGCCTTAGTGTTCTCTATAAAAGGGGATTAATGATTCTTACCTCTAAAGAATTGTTAGAAGGACCAAATGAACTCAGAGGTGTTAAATAATTCCTGATGTGAAATTATGAGCTCAGTCAGTGATGACCGTGGTGTTTTTATCAGGTCTCATGTTTACAGCTAACCTCTGCACGTCTGTTGCAGTGGAGGGTGATACCTTCTGCAGGGAAGCTCCCCTCAGCCAGGCAGTCGCACAGGCCTCCGGGAGTGTGCTGCTGTCCGTATGCAGAGCCAGGCAGCCCCCAGGTTTACAGCCACCCCTCCCTCCACTCTCACACAAGTAACTTGTCTCTATTCATTTTATACAACACAGAAGGACCCCTGTTGTAGGAACATAAAGACATAGTGAGAGGAAAACCCTGCCTGGGGCGAGGTTTCCTCCTGTGTGCCCTGCGCCACCTTGAGCCCAGCACTGGAACCCATTCCCAGAAGGCAGGAGTTGCAAAGTGTTCGTGTTTAACCTTAGAATAACATAATTTTACAAAAGGTGGCTGGACGCAGTGGCTCACACCTGTAATCCCAGCACTTTGGGAAGCCAAGGTGGGTGAATCACAAGGGCAAGAGTTCGAGACCAGCCTGGCCAACATAGTGAAACCTCATCTCTACTGAAAATGCATAAAAATTACCCAGACTTGGTGGCATGCACCTGTAATCCCAGCTACTCAGGAGGCTGAGGTAGGAGGATCGCTTGATCCCAGGAAGCGGAGGTTGCAGTGAGCCAAGATCATGCCATTGCACTCCAGCCTGGGTGACAGAGCGAGACTCCGTCTCAGGAAAAAAAAAAAGGCAAACATCACATTAAAAAGCCTGCTACTTTACAAATGCAGAATTACATTTCTATTAAGGTTTTGTATCTCTCTTTCCCTATTATGACACTATCATTTTATCAGGTTTAATAGTGCAGTTACATAATCAAAATATATTTCTTCAGGTATTTATCCTTACGAGACCTGATCCTTAGTAATGTCTAACTAAAAGTTTCCAAATAAATGAGTGAGTGATTGAGCATGTAGAAATCTTCTTTTGTGTTTTTAAGGATTGCATTTATTTTAAACAAGAACATATTATCCTTCATTTAGTACAGAGGAAGGCATCTGCAAAACCGTGTGTCGAGTGCCATGCCTGACGGTATAGAACGATCACGTCTTCGAGAAAGAACCGCTACCCTGGAACAGCTGTCGAGGCCCAGCACAACCCACACGTTCCGGGTGGGTTCTCTGTTTACTGTAACTTTAATTTTGAAAAACATTTGAAAAAAATGAAATTTGTCCCTGATTTTATTTTTCTTCCAGCAGTTGGATACGCCTCGAAAAAGTTCACTGACACAAATGGAATTTGCTGCTCACACATGGACAGGGCAAAGTATTTTGACAGGTCAGCTTTTCTCCATATATAAATAAAGTGATGTAATATGTGAGATTTCAAGTTTCAGAAAGTGAAATGCAAGATTATCTACCTTGATAAGCCTATTCTGCTCGTGTAGGAGGGAATAGCAAGTGTCTGTGGCCTGTGGCCTGACCTCGGAAACCTCGATCACAGATCACACCTGCACAGACACGCACTCACTCACCTGCTGTCAGGTCAAGAAGGGGGAAGTGTCCAAAAGCTCTCCATGAACTGGGGGCCTCACTCTAAAAAGAATGCTGTCTTGGGAGAAGTCAGTCCCTTGTTTGCTATAGAGTTTTCATGCTCTATTTCTAAGTGGAGTTTTAATCTTAGATTCTCTTTGAAAATCTGATGATAAAAATGCCTGAGAAAATTAACACAGATTTGCTAATTACTTTATAACATAAGGTTTTACAGAGAAATACGTATTCTCAGCCTGGTGTGTTGTTCGCAGGATATTCTAGTTTGAATACGGGCTGGTGATGTTTCCACTTCCAGAACAGTCACCAACGCTTTTTCAGGGCGGTAGTGTGGCCTCATCATGAGGTGTACTGCTCTGGAGTCTGACGTTGGGTTTCCACCCTCGCTCTGCCACCAGCTGTGCAACCCTAGGAATGTCCCAACCCCTCTGGCCCTCAGCTTCCTCTTTTATGAGAAGCTGGGTAGATAAAATAATTATTGAAAATCTGTGAAAAGTACCTAGCTAGATACCAGGCATATATTGCTCAAAAATTATGAAGTATGAACCATTTGTATTATAAATGATCTGAAATTTCAGGGATTATTTATTGTTTTACAGAGAATTTTAAACATATAATCCTAAAAATAAATTTCGTACTTTGGGAGGCCGAGACATCAAGACCATCCCAGCTAACACAGTGAAACCCCGTCTCTACTAAAAAATACAAACAACTAGCTGGGTGAGGTGGCGGCGCCTGTAGTCCCAGCTACTCGGGAGGCTGAGGCAGGAGAATGGTGGGAACCCGGGAGGCGGAGCTTGTAGTAAGCTGAGATCCGGCCAGTGCACTCCAGCCTGGGCGACAGAGCAAGACTCCGTCTCAAAAAATAATAATAATAATAATAATAAATAAATAAAATAAATTTCGTAAAAAGTAAGCATTGTGTAACAGATCTATCTGTTCTCAGCAGCCCTTCTGTCATCCTGTAGTACAGTGATGTCAGGGATTCTTCAGCTCTTTAAAATTTTGCTCCTGTGCTAATAGCTCTGGGCTGCTGTGCCTTTTTGTTGCTTCTCTGGACGCTGTATGTTCCTTAGCAGCATTAGCCGTCATTCTCATGGCAACAGCTCGTTCTCTAAAAAGCAGCCACGCTACATGGTTAGGTGTTGCTTTTTTTTTTTTTTTTGAAGACGAAGTCTCGCTGTGATGTCCAGGCTGGAGTGCAATGGTGCAATCTCAGCTCACCGCAACCTCCACCTCCTGGGTTCAAGCAATTCTTCTGCCACAGCCCCCCACTGAGTAGCTGGGATTACAGGCATATGCCACGATGCCTGGCTAATTTTTGTATTTTTAGTAAAGATGAGGTTTCACCATATTGGCCAGGCTGGTCTCAAACTCCTGACCTCAGGTGATCCACCCATCTCAGCCTCCCAAAGTGCTGGGATTACAGGCATGAGCTACTGCGCCCAGCCCAGGTGTTGCTTTTAACACAATTGTAGATGCTTGGGGGGAAGTAGGTGCCCAAGTTAGCTTATCAATCGTGGATGGAGTATCAAGCACTCACTCTGTGCCAAGGTCTGTGCCGAAGGCTGGGATTCAAACAGCAGGGGTGTTTCTGTCTGTGCCTCAAGGAGCATTGAGCCTGGCAGGCAAGCTGGAAAAGGCCGTGAGGGATGAGCAGGACCACCTGACTCCCCTGTCAGGTGGCTGGAGGGTGCCAAGGCTTCCTGGAGGAGATGACCATCGCAAGGGATGTGAGAGAGAGGGAGTGAGGACTGACGGGCGACTCTGTGGATGGCCAGCGGCGGGTGGTGCTGAGGCAGGGAACTGGACAGATTCTGACGAGTTCACTTTTGGGGATGCTGACTGGAGCACGCCAAGCGGAGACGTCCAGTAGGTAGTTTGGGCACACATAGTGGAGGTTTGGAGTGGGAATTGGGTTCTGAATTTGTTTTAAATCTTCACTGTTAATCATTGACCAAATGCCAAGTCAGTGTATTCTCTTATCAGTAACTTTTTGCTTTGAAATACGCTATTCATTTCTTCTACAATTATAAAAATAATACATTATCAAAATAGACAACTTACAAAACACAAAAATCCACCGAGGAAAACACGGCCAATGCCCCTGGTCTCACCACGTAGAGAGAACGCGGCTCAAAGGCGTGAGCTGTGATGACAGTACGATGAGGCACGTGCCCCATGCAGACGTCCCCGGGCCCCAGGTGAGGCTGCAGGTGAGGCGCGCGCGGCCTCACACACAGATTAGAGATTGGGAGCAGAAGGCCTAAGTCTTGTCCCTCAAAAACCAAAAGCTGTTTCTGTCCTCCTAAGCACTCTGTCAACGTCAGCCCACCACGCTGCTCACACAGGGAGCCGCCTCTCTGGCCACCAGCTTAGGCAGCCCACCACGATCTGCTGGGACATTCGGGAATGAATTAAACACCAGAGTGGATTCATGTGGCACCTTTGGAATATCACTCACTGACTTCTGGAAGAGGAGGTGGGGGTAGAGCCGGTGTGGGGGGACTGCAGTGATCCTGGGGGCGCCCACAGGAGGTACATTAACATGTGCAGTCACATATGGCCGCTTAACTCATGCAGGACCCAGAGAACGGTCCACACCAGTCATCTGCACCTTACTGCCTCTTAACTACTGACCCAAGACAAAAGAGCTATTAGAAGGGAGAACACAGCCAACCAAATGCACAGCTCCAAGAGGTTCTGCATCTATAATGACAAGCTAACATTTAGTTCTTTGGTTCAAAATATTTCCCCTCCTTAACCATTTTTTAATGCTGCAAAGCTCATCCCCATCTGGGGAGTGCTAAGGGTATGTCCAGGCACCCTCAGGATCAGGCTGGCTTTTCTTCCTTTCCACCAGGTGCACAGGCAAACTGGCCACAGGGGACTCCCAGGAGCTCCATGCGGCTCGGCACGGCCCGTGCGGCCCGGAAGGGAGGGCAGAGATGCCCAGGGCTGTGGGCGCCGGTCTGTGCGGCCCGGAAGGGAGGGCAGAGATGCCCAGGGCTGTAGGTGCCGGCCTGTGCATTCCGGAGGAGACCATGCCTGGTGGTGGTGAGAGACACAGGCCTTGGCACACAAGTCCTAGCTCTGCTGCTGGGTGCTGTGGGACCAGGCATTCCCTGCGGGTCTCAGCGTCCGTATCTGTAAAATGGGAGTAACACCTCACTCAAAGACTCCTGAAGGGATTAAATAAAACACGGAGCAGGTAACGCGGTGCCTGGTGCGTAACAAGCCTCAGGATATCCAAGGACTCATCCTGATCGCCCATGAGCCTATTGAAGGTCAACCCTGTCTCATTTAAAAAACAAGACTGTGCATCCAAGTCCGGGTAGGGTGACCCTGTCCAGGGCCAACCCCCACCTAGAACCAGCCAGGCTTGTGCTGCTGGAGAGAACTGGCCAAGCCAACGCACTCAGGACCAGCAGTGAGCAGCCTCCGAGCCCGCAGAACAGGCAGGGCCCCTGACAGGCAGGCTGTGTGCAGAGGCCCCTGGGGCACCGAGGGGCAGAAAACCTGGGGAAAGAGGCTCTTTCACCCGCCCAAGTGGAACCCTCCCCACTGAACACCGGATCTCCCAGCACTGTCGGGCCTTCAGTCACATTTTAAACACTGAACAGAGGGACAGAGGGACCTGTGTTCCTTGATGTTTCATCTTTGTTCATCCATCGGTCGTCCTCCAAATCAAAGTCCAGAAGCTTCTGCACTAATTTCGAGGTCAGGCTGAATCTTGAGTCATGAACCAAACTGTTTCAATTTTCCTCTAACTCTGTGTAAGTCTTCGTGGAGCTTATCATAAGCAGGATCCTCATAAGGGAATTTCTGAATCATTTCGATCAGTGATTCTAAGAACCACATCTTTCTGCGGTCCTTCTCAGTGGCACAGCTGTGCGGGAGACATTCCCACGCAAAAGCCAGGCCTCGGGAGCACCTGATCTCAGGCCGGATGTTGGTTCCATGCAGCGTGCGGTGCTGCCTTCCTTCAGTCACGCCCACGCTCCTGTCTTCCTTCTCCTTCAGTCACACCCACACTCCTGCCTTCCTCCCAGCCTTCCTGACACCCTTCCCCATGTAACCCACATCCGCCTTCATGATGGCATCCAACACGGCCTGGCTCCCAGGGTCAGGCCCAGATGCACTGCTTCAGAGGAGGCACTCTTATCAGTAACTCTGAGACAGCTATTACTGATGGTCAAAGGTCATTTCTATATCTGCAAAAGTGATCGAGGGTCCATAAGAGGGATCTTCCTGTCTTTCTGGGGGTTTATTTTCTTTTTCTCTGACAAGCAGGCCACATAACCTCCTTGCTAGCTTTGCATCCAGGTCAAAAAGCACTGGGAACTATTAACTTACCAACTTTTATTATTTCTGTGATAGAAAAAAAAAAAGGAGCCAAAGTGGTATCCCAGGTAGTGGGAAGGATCCCTTAAAGTACCTGGCGTTGCACCTGCCCCTGGGAAGCAGTAGAACTGCCAGGAAGTAGAGCTCCCTCAGCCTCCTGGGCCAGGACTCGCCTCTGCATAGAAGCTTCTCGCAAATCCACCAGCTCGGGAGGACGCACGGCCTGCACCTCGACTTGGTTTTGGGGGAGCGCCCTTCCTTTTTCTCAGGACCCTAATTGGGAGTTTTTGCATATGACTATTTCCTAATTTATACAAAAGTGTATTAATAAAGTATTTTTAAGTATTTGCACGGAATGTACAAAACAGCCGTTCTGAGTAGTTGCCTTTGTAACATTTAATGAGAATTACCTCTTGCTTGCTGTTTCCAGGTTCACAATATGTGCCTAAATCTTTTCAGAGGACAACCTTGACTTTAAAGAAGAGATTCCAAGTGACATCTTGAAACCACCTCACCAGAACCATTGGCGCACTCATGGTCTCAGCACACCACTTATCGCTTGAAAACTGGAGGAACAAGTATTCTATTTATCTGTGTGTCTGACAGTGTGAGATGCTAGACTGAGAAAAATGCAAACAAATAAATCACTTAATTTTGAACACTTTGCATTTTAAAGAGAGTAAAAGTCAAATCCACCAAGCTGCCTTGCTGAAAGCATCTCCAAGGTTCTGTAGGCTTTGCTCAGAAGACCCTGATGTGTGTTTACAATCCGTCATTTTATCAGTGATACACAAACATAATTAGCATGTGTTTGTACTCACACACTTATTACATATAAGAATATATTATCTAGGGACATGCCATTTATAACTTTGTACTCTGATGTATTTTCTAGTCTCATTCTGTTAGTAATTCCGTCAAAATCGTAGATACTAGTAGATATTAGTATTTGAGACAATATGTCAGTCTGAATAAGACTCAGATTGTTCTAGTCATGCTGACTTTCTCATACATTTTTAAAAAGTGCTTCAGCCATGAACCTTTTTGAGAAATGTCAGTGGTGAAATCTCCCAAGCTAATTTTCTTTTTCTGGTTTCCATCTTCAAATTCAGACAGTTCACGTGAAGTACCCCACATTTATTGATCTTAGGGTTGAATGTAAATATAAACGTAATTAAAAGCTATGGCAGATGATGTCATCTTTATTGTTTACAGTCGAAGCTCCTCCGTGGGAGGGGAGCCTCGCACCCTCCACGTGTCATCGGGAGCTGGCCTTTGCTCAGACGCCACCTCTGCAGTGACGCCTTCCCAGAGCCCTCGTCTCTTCTTGCTCTGTCCTCCTGCTCTGTTGGCTTTTCTTCAGAGCATGTATCCCCATCTAACGTTACCGTAGAAAACGGAGCAGAGAATGGGAAGAGGAATTAGCAGAGCTGAGGCTCCAGGCATGTCTTTCTCTTGTCCCTCTCCCCACTGTTTCTCTTGATCGTGATTCAGGTCCTTACACTCATTTCTATATTCTCAGATCTCAACTCAGCTAATTTCTTCTTTTCTGTCAGATAATTGCATTTTGTCAGTCTAATTATTACTAATCCAAACTGTAACTTTATAAGGTTATATATATGAGCATATTTATAAACTTAGATTTATAATATACACACATATGTATCATATAAATGCATAATAAATTATTTTCAGACGATTTCTGGCTGTAAGGTGAAGGGATCATTGCCTACTTGTAGATGTCTGGAATTTTAAAAGATGTGTTCAGACTAACGCTAATGTTGTCCTTTATCACAGAGTGACAAAACAAAAATGACCCCAGAGCCCTGCCGCTGTTTGAATATTTCTCCTTGACCTTGCTGACTCCATTTCTTTTTTGCTTTCTTTTTTTTCGAAACGGAGTCTCATTCTGTCACCCAGGCTGGAGTGCAGTGGTACGATCTCAGCTCACTACAACCTCCGCCTCCTGGGCTCAAGCGATTCTCCTGCCTCAGCCTCCTGGGTAGCTAGGATTACAGGTGCATGCCACTACACCCAGCTAATTTTTTTGTATTTTTAGTAGAGATGGGGTTTCACCATGTTAGCCAGGCTGATGTCGAACTCCTGACTTCAGGTCATCTGCCTGCCTCAGCCTCCCAGAGTGCTGGGGTTACAGGCGTGAGCCACTGCGCTCGGCCAGCTGACTGCATTTCTATAGCAATGAGACACCTGAGGCAGCAGCAGCAACAGTGACCACCGGGTCCAGGCCTCTTTTCCATGGTCGCAGCTCCATGCATCCGGGGAAGATTGCTAATGCTTAGTTTTCTGCACAAAGCAAACCAAAGCATTTTTGAGAATTTTCTACATTATTCCTAAACATTAGCAATAGAAACTTTTAAGAGCAAATGCCAGTCTTAATTCAGCAGCTGTCACACTTGAGGAATAGTTAGATATGTGAGTAGCCTGGAGCCCATGTTACAGGGCTGCTGGTTAGGTGCACTCTGGTACGTCACTACTGCTCAAAGCGTGACCCACTTGTTCTTTCAGAACCACTCGGGGTATTTCATGTCCATTTCCAGGAACCATCCAACTCCTTCCCTACTCAGTCCAAACTTCCTTTTTTTTTTTTTTTTTTAACTTTAAGTCCAGGGGAACATGTGCAGGTTGTTACACAGGCAAACTTGTGTCATGGGAGTTAGTTGTACAGATTACTTTATCACCCAGGTATTAAGCCTAGTGTCCATTAGTTGCTTTTCCTGATTCTCTCCCTCCTTTCACCCTCCACCCTTTGGTGGAGGCCCCAGTGTGTGCTGTTCCGCTCTGTGTCCATGTGTTCTCATCATTTAGCTCCCACTTAGAAGTGAGAACGGATGGCATTTGTTTTTCTGTTTCTGCATTAGTTTGCTAAGGATGATGACTTCCAGCTCCAGCCATGCCTCTGCAAAGGACATAATCTCATTCTTTTCTATGAGCTCAAGCTTCGTAATAGGGAAAACACTGGATATTCAGTCTAAACTAACATTAAGGTAGGGTATCCAGGATAAAATGTTTTTTCTTTGAAAACCACTGAATATACTTTATGGTAACTTTATCTTGTTTGGCTTCAGAGGTTTGCAAATAAGAATCTATTATTTATATATAGGTAAAAAACAAAATGTTTTAAAAAATAGAACCAGTTCCAGTGATCTTGAGTCTTCTAAACATTTAAATTGGAAGATAAAGTACCATTTTAGAGATTACATAGATACTTGGCCCTGTCATTGATTTTAAAAATGACCTTCTCGTTGCACTGATTTTTACCCCTATGTTAAAGTTAGTATTTTATTTATACATTACATTAGATTTAGAGATTAGTAAATAATGCTTATATCAAGGATGGTGCTTTTTAAGCTAATTAGGTAAAAATGAGGGCAGTGTTTTTATAATCTACTTTAATAAATGAGTCTTACCTTAGAATTAATCTGTTAAAAATTAGAAAAATTGAACTACATCTGAGATAGATTTTTAAATTCAGATTAGTGACTACATTAATTAAAATGTCTGTTTATCCAAAACCAAAGGAAGAATGAAGAAATTTTAATCTAAGAAAATGTAAAATACCATAGAAAACTGCTAGATTTTGTGAATTTAATATGAAAGGAAGTATCCATATTGATATTATTCTGAACTAGATGAAATTTCTACGCCAATTCAGAAGTACATTTTTATATTATATATCATTTGGGTATTATATTTTTATTGTTTTCTTATAACTACAGATCATTGTGTAGGATTTTTGATTCCTTAATTTCTAATAAAATATAAAAGTGTCAAAAGAGTTTTCAAAAATGTGTTACATTTATAAAAGTATGTTTAGATTCCCAATTTTTGTATCATTTGGCAAATACCTCTCTATTCTACATTTTCTAATACAGAGGTATTTATTATTTCTACCTATGTAGCAAACTTTCCCCAATAAATTCGAAGTATATGTCCCTATATATTTGCAAAGGCTTTTCATAATTTATGAATACTCCATTGTAATGTTTGTTTCAGAAGATTATGCTCCTGTGTGGTAATCATCATGGATTTGATTTCATCAGACATTTATTAAGCACTTTGTTGGTGTAAGATTTTGCTCTAAGCATTATATTGAACAAGACAGTCTTTGGCCTAAAAGAACTTAGATTCTAGTGGAGGAGACAGACTATAAATGATTAAATAAAAACATAATACAGGTCAGGTAGCAATAAGTGCTATGAAGAAACAAAGCGAGGCAAGGTGACGGAGTGAAAGGAGCTGAACTTTCCATCGAGCGGTTGGGGATGGCTGTGTTGCAGAGGTGATATTTGAGCAAACCCCAAAGAAGATGAGAAAAGAAGCCTTGGAGATATCTGGGGAGAAAGAATTGTAGACAGAGCAAAAGACATGTGCCTAAACCAAGAGTTTGAATGTTTGAAGAACAGCAGAGAGGCCAGTGCCTGGGATGCAGTTGGCAAGGGAGTGAATAATAGGAGCTCAGTGAGGTAACAGGAGCTGAGGGACTGAGGTCCCTTTTGGACTATGGGAAATCTTAAGTAGTCTGAAATAAGAAGTCACTGGAACAGTTGAGTTTTGGGGATAGAATGATATAATCAACAAGAGATGATCATGTTTCAGTCAAATGATAGTGGTGAGAATCCCAGGACTGGGGATGTGTTTAGAAATTTCAGCCAAAAGATTTGCAATTGGATGAGAGTTGGAGTGTGTCTACAAAAAGATCAAGAATGCCTCCAAGGCTTTTGGCTTCACGCTTGGAAGGATGGTGTTGGCATTCACTGAAATTGGAAAGACTGCAAGGGGAACGCGTTTGGCAGCATGAGGTACATGTTATGTGTGAGGTGCCAATGAGATGCCTAAGTGGAGATATTGAGATATTTGGATATCCACACGTGGGTGTGGAGGTGAGGTATAGACTGGAGGTATAAATTTGGGGATTGTCAGCATGTAGATGGTATTTAAGAACTGAAACGGATGAGGTAACCAAGAAAATGAGTGTAGAGAAATGGAGGAAAAAGGAGTTCTGAGCCTTGTGCCTTCTAACATCTAAAAGCCTGGGATGTGAAGGAAAACCAGCAAAGCAGACTGAGAAAGAATGACTGGTGAAGGGAAATAAGAGTTAGGAGAATATGGCATCCTCAAAGTGTGTGTGTGTGTGCGTGCAGGGGAAGTGTTTCAAGGAAGCCACAGGGACTTAAGTATGTTGAATGCTGTTGATGAGTCAATTAAGATAAGGTCTGAGAATCGGACTAAAGGTTTAGCCACATGGAAGTTACCAGTGGCCTTAACAAGATCTGCTATGTGAATGGACAAGGTGAAAGTCTGCTTGCAGTGGGTTCGGGAGAAAAGGAGAGAAATTGAAGACAGTCATGGGCAAGTCTTGTAGGGAATTTTTCTGTACAGAGGAGTAGAGTAATTTGTGTGTGTGTGTATGCGTGTGCATGCACGTGCGTTTCCTAGTAAGGTTCATCTTGATGAGTGTCTTCATTATTCAGTATAAAATGTTGATCCAAAAAGAAAGATAGCTGTAGTGTTCTCTGGAGAACGTGTGGGGTGTATTCCCACTGGAAAATTAAAGAAAAAGCTGACAGAGCTGAGTGAATAGTAAGTTATAATTCAGAAGCAACATTCAGAGAAGGATACACCTTGTGAAGTATGTCTTCAGAGTTCACAAAAAGAACACTGTGGGGGTGGAAGTTTTAGCTTAGAGGGCAAAATATTTCAAAAATACACAGAATCAAAATGATGTTAAAAATAAATGAGGCATTCCACTACTGTTTATTGAAGAATAGTTCATGTGAAACTGACCTACTGAGAACAACTATAAAAGCTGTAAATGGACAAGAAACAGCTCTTTGGAGGTACACGTGGACACCCACATCCACACCTACCCAACCCCCCAGCACAAAGCAGCATAACTTCAGGAAGCAAATTGGGAGACAACAGGAATAATACATTGAGGTGAACCCCATATTTGCTACTGTTTTCTTTCCCTGTATCAATATATTTTAGACTAATAATGGGGCATAGAGACCAAGAAAAAGGGATACCCTCAAAATTTGTGACAAGCTCACTAGACTGCCAAAAGGAATGATGTTGGGAAATGTCTCAGACTTTGAATTGACAACCTTGAAGGACTAGACTCTAGGAGTCAGGGCAAACTCAGTACAGACGAGTGCTTAAAACACTGGAAGCAGAACCTAGAATCAATGAAACCTCTGTTTACATCCAGGTTATATGCCTGCACTTTATATGACCGTACTTTATACTTTGTTTGCCTGGGTATCACCAGTGGAGCCTGCAAAACCACAAATATTGCAGAATGGCAAATGTTGCTGCCTGAACATTCCTCTGGAAGCTTTGTCTCAGAGGGGCACCCGGCTGTATGAGGTGTCAGTTGGCCCCTACTGGGAGGTGCCTCCCAGTTAGGCTACTCGGGGGTCAGGGACCCACTTGAGGAGGCAGTCTGTCCGTTCTCAGATCTCAAACTCCGTGCTGGGAGAAGCATGACTCTCTTCAAAGCTCAGTTGGAAATGCAGAAATCACCCGTCTTCTGTGTCACTCATGCTGGGAGCTGTGGACTGTAGCTGTTCCTATTCAGCCATCTTGGAACCTCGATTTTCGAGAGTTATTTCTTTCAAGGGAAAAGGGAGCTGGCAAAGCTGAAATCTGTAAAGCAAGCTGGAAGGCTGGAAATTCAGGTAAGAGTTCAGTAGTGAGTCTGAAATCCACAGGACAAGGCAAGTAGCCTGGAAATTGTGGTAGGGTCTCTGTGTTGCCATCTTGAGGCCAGATTCTTTCTTCTTCAAAAAACCTCAGTCTTTTTTTTTTTTTTTTCTTTTTTGAGACAGAGTTTTGCTCTTGTCGCCCAGACTGGAGTACAATGGCACAATCTCGGCTCACTACAACCTCCACCTCCTGGTTTCAAACGATTCTCCTGCTTCAGCCTCTCAAGTAGCTGGGATTACAGGCTTGTGCCACCACACTCAGCTAATTTTGTATTTTTAGTAGAGATGGAGTTTCACCATGTTGGTCAGGCTAGTCTCGAACTCCTGACCTCAACTGATCCACCTGCCTTGGCCTCCCAAAGTGCTGGAATTACAGGCGTGAGCCACTGAGCCTGGCCAAAACCTCAGTCTTTATTCTTGAGGCCTTCCCTGGTTAGATGCGGCCCACTCACATTCTGGAGGGCAATCTGCTTTACCCTAAGTCTACTGATTTAAATGTTAACCACATCTTAAAAATACCTTGACAGCAACATCCAGATTGGTGTTTGACCATACAACCTGGCCCCATAACCAAATCGGCACATAAAATTATCCATTGTGATAGGTAAGACTTCCGCAAAGAGATCTAGAAAACATTTCCGGGAGAAATTAACCAAGACCCAAATAAATGAAGCGATATATCATGTTTGTGGATTGGAAGACTCAGTGCAGGTATTATAAAGATGTCAGTTCTCTTCAAATTGATTTTTGTATTTAATTCAATCACAATTAAAATACCATCAGGGAGTGTGTGTGTGTGTGTGTGTGTGTTATTATTCTAAAATTTACAGGGAAATAAAAAGCACCCACCCAAAATAGCAAGATAGTCTTGATGAATTTGAAAAACAAGTTAAATAACTTATACCAAAAAATAACAAGACTTATAAAATTTTTGATTGAAATTACCTGTTATTGGCACACAAATGGACAAATAATAGAGCAGAACAGATCATATACATGTGTACAATCCCCTGATTTATGACAAGGTGACATTCTGTGCATTGATTAAAAGACAGTCTTTTCATTAAATTGTATTGAATCCATTTGATATTCATATTTTTATTTAGAACGGTGTTGAACTCTACTATCACATACATACACAAATACATTACAGATGCAAGTTCTTGGATCTAAATTAGAAAGGGAAGATTATGAAGCTTTTAGAAGTTAATATAAGAGAGAATATCTGTTTTAGCTTGTGGTAGGCAAAGATTTTCTAAGATGCATAAAACATTAATGAAAAAGATAAATAAATTGGACTTCATTAAACTTTAAAACACTCTTATTCATTCAAGTACATCAGCGATGGTTTGACTGTTCCCCAAAGTTCAGGTGCTAGAAACTAATCCCTAATGCAACAGTGGTGAGAGGTGGGACCATTAAGAGGTGATTAGGCCATGAGGGCTCTGCCCTCACAAATGGATTAATGCTACTATCATGGGAATGGGTTCCTAATTAAATGATGAATTCGGCCCCCTTCTTCTTGCTCGCTCTCGTTTACTGTTGTGCCTTTTCACCTTCTGCCATGGGATGATGCAACAGAAGGCCCTCATCAAATGTGGCTCCTCTGTCTTGGACTTCCCAGCCTCCAGAACCATACTGGTCTGTGATATTTGATTATAGGAGCACAAAATGAACTATGACAACATCATTAAGAGGGTGACAAGGCAAACTACGGAGAGGAAGAACCTTGCACTACATAGCTGGCAAAGGATTTGTATTCATATATAATTTATTATATAATAATTGCTCAGTCATTATTTAAATTCCTACAAATCACTAAAAATCCAGACAATTACAATGTTAAACATGGGAAAATGATTTAATAGGTACTCTCTGAAATGGCCAATAATCTTTTGAAATGATGCTCACTGTCCTAGGTTACTAGGAAAATTCATACTAAAATTTCAATGCTCAGCCTAGGCAACATGGTGAAACCCTGTCTCTACTAAAAATACAAAAATTAGCCTGGTGTGGTGTGCACCTGTTGTCCCACCTACTCAGAGGGCTGAAGCGGGAGGATTGCTTGAGCCTGGGAAGTTGAGGCTGCAGTGAGCTGAGATCATGCTACTGCACTACAGTCTGAGTGAGAGAGTAAGATCCTGTCTCACAAAAATAAATAAATAAGTTAAATAAATAAATAAACAAACTCAATGCAGTTTTACTACAAGACTCCAGCTAAGACAATACCAAACATTGACAAGTATATGGAGCCACTGGAACTATCAGAGATTACTCATGAGTGTGTAAATTGGTACGAATTTGGAAAACTGGCAAGAAGTACTAAGTCTAAATGTGTGCATGCCTTATGATCTAACAATTCCATTCCTGGGCATATTTACAGGAAGGAGAAATATGTATATATGTGTATCAAAAGACATCTACAACAGTGGTCATACAAAATTCGTCACAACATAGGAAAACTGGAAACAATTGAAACATCCATTGGCAGTAAAATGAATGATAAATTATAATATATTCCAACAATGGAATAATATACAGCTGTGAAAAATAAGGGAAAATATTACACATGGCAAAACAGTCAATATAGATTGTCATAAATCAGGTGATTGTACACATACATATGATCTATTGCTGTTTTCCATTTGTGTGCCAATTACATGATTTTAATTAATAATTTTATAAGTCTTGGTATTTCTTGGTAATAAGTTATCTAACTTGTTTTTCAAATTCATCTAAACTTAGTGTTGAGTTTAAGAAGCCAGATATGAAAGAGTGCGTGCTGTATGATTTCACGTTGTATTGCATGATCTAGGTTGTGGTTACATGGAAGTGATGGTGTTTGTATACTTTATTTGAGCCTGGTACTTGTGATTCAAAATTTCACAACAATTTCCTGCTACCCTTTATGATTTGATGTGTGTAAGTAGAGTTTGCAGATAATGTAGTTCTATACTGAGCTATGAATTTATTTTTATAGTGTAATTTTTTTTGTATTAAGAATCATTCTGAGTGACAGAAAATTTGGGAAATCAAAGTATTAACATTTATAAAACCATTCTGTTGTTTATAACATATTCTGGCCATGACTTTCAAAAGCACTGGTTTCTAGGGGGAGAGAGTATCAAAGAAAGACCTTGACTAAAGAAAGCTCTTTCAAGTGGGAAGGGCATCATAGAGGATGGATCTTGAGGAGGGAAAGTCAGGAGATGCCTTCCTACTCAGCTGCATTAGCTCATGAAGCTGACAGCCCGCAGGCTTATAAATGTGGGTAGATTGCCTTCACATCAGCCTTGCAATCATCTGCTACACTGAGCACCAGTACATTTCATGGTGGACATTCTGAGGTGTGACACTGTGTACTCTGCTGTTAGGAGGCTTTCCGGGAAGAAGGTCTTGCCAAGGATTTCTTGCACTCCCAGCCACCTGACTGGTTTAGTCTGAAATTTCAGTATTCCGGGCAGTATGAGAAAGGCCCTATCTGGTAACAAAGAAGGCATAAGAAAGATGACTAAGGGAACAAAGGGACAAGGTTTTTATTTTGTTCTTCACCCACAGATTGGCTTCAAAATAAAGCGTCTGGCCGGGCATGCTGGCTCATGCCTGTAATCCCAGCACTTTGGGAGGCCGAGGCGGGCGGATCACGAGGTCAGGAGATCGAGACCATCCTGGCTAACACGATGAAACCCCGTCTTTACTAAAAAATACAAAAAATGAGCCGGGCATGGTGGTGGGCGCCTGTAGTCCCAGCTACTCCGGAGACTGAGGCAGGAGAATGGCGTGAACCCGGGAGGCAGAGCTTGCAGTGAGCCGAGATCACGCCACTGCACTCCAGCCTGGACTACAGGCGAGACTCTGTCTGAAAAAAAAAAAAAAGATAAAAGCGTCTAAGCCTGGCAGTCCAGGTCTCTCTAAGCTGGCTCCACCCTACCTACCCACCTCATCCTGCACCTGTCACTGTGTGGGACCCTGTGCTCCAGGCAGGGGCCCCTCACTGCCCCTTGAGCTCATTTTATCCCTCCTGGCTCTGCGGCATTTCTGACCATTTCTACTCAGTCCAAGACTCACTGCTGCCCAGAGCAATCTCCCTTCTCTGCTTCTGGAGGGGAAGGGTTCTGTGTTACCCGCCCTGTTTTGTCCACAGAGGTTAGCAGAGACTGACAGAGACAAACCTTTTTTCTTTCTAATTTTAGATTCAGGAGCACATGTGCAGGTTTGTTAAATTTGCCTGATGCTGAGGTTTGAGTTTCTCTTGATCCCTCACCTGAATACTGAACACAGTACCCAACACACAGTTTTTCAACCGTTACTCCCCTTCCTTTCTACCCCAATTTTGGAATCCCCAGTGTGATGTAGGCAAATTGTTTACTTTTATAGCTGTAATTAACCTTATTATAGTTCAGCCTCAACCCTTTAGAGGGGAGGAAACTAAAGCCCATGAGATATGCTTAAAGATACTAAGTGAACATATTTATTTTTTAAAAAGTGTTAAAGTGATTAAACAACGTAAACGTGAATGAAATAAAAAGCGTAAGTTCCCCATCTTCATTCCCACTCCTTAGAGCTGATCAGTACTTTTACTTCCAGACATTAGTGGAGCTGTAGAGAAAGAAACCTTTTCTCCCAAAGAAGGCATTACTTTACACACTCCATTCTGCAACTTGTTTTGGTTTTTTTTGTTTGTTTGAGCGGAATCTCGCCCTGGCTCCCAGGCTGGAGTGCAGTGGCGCGATCTCGGCTCACTGCAAACTCCGCCTCCCGGGTTCACACCATTCTCCTGCCTCAGCCTCCCAAGTAGCTGGGAATACAGGTGCCCATCACCACGCCCGGATAATTTGTTGTATTTTTAGTAGAGACGGAGTTTCACCGTGTTAGCCAGGATGGTCTCGATCTCCTGACCTTGATCTCCTGATCTCCTGATCTCCGCCCGCCTTGGCCTCCCAAAGTGCTGGGATTACAGGCGTGAGCCACCGTTCTATTTGAAATAGCAACAAATAGAAATTGTTCACTTGCTATTTCACGTCAGCACAGGCAGATGACTTAAATTCAGATGGAGAAAAGCCTGAGGCATGTTCTTCTCTGCACTCCAGAGGCGCTGCAGGTGGCTGTGGGCAACCTACGCAGTGGCTTCGAGTAAACGAACGTAATTAGTAATTAAGCAAAGCGGGCATCCAGGACATTCTATTTCATCTTCCTGGCACTTTGGTGCTTAGTAAGGGCCTGGCCTCTTGGAGAGCGACACTCCTCGCCGGGCCTCTTTGTAAGAAGCATCGAGCATGGAAAAGGGGCTGGGGTCAGCACCGGGGCCCTCTGCCGGGAAGAGAGACTGGCAGCCGGGACACGCGTCTCCCCGGGCTGAAATCGGGCACCCTCTCGCGGTCCTTCCCTCCCTTCCCAGGCTGGGTGGCCAGTCTTGGCTCTTCTGCGAGTCCCCCGCGGCTGCGGTCTCCCAGCACCCGCTGAGCAGCCTCCCCCGCCTTCCTCCCCCACCCGCCCCTCCGTGCTCTCCGGGGCTCCGGCTTCCTCGGTCTGGTGCCTGGTGCATATTTTGGAAAATAAAATATGCACGACCACCTCATTTCGCTCCCAGTGTCCCAGGGGGCCAGCGCACACACAGGGGTAGGTGACTTCCCTAAAGTTGCGTCCCCAAGGCCACCCTGGATCCCAGCGCCCGCTGCTCCGTGTGACCCCGCCGGAGCCAGGACGCGCCCCGCCTCCCGGGGCCTGGAGGTCGCGCAAGCAGCGAGCGCTGCGCGGCAGAGCTGGGATCCGAGCCGGGGGCGGATGCGCCTTCCTTTCCCTTAAGAGCCGGCTGCCCGCCCGCGGAACCCCGCACGTCAGAGCGGCCTCGCAGGACCCGCAGACCAGCCCCGCTGGGGCGCGCCGGGCTGCCGCGGTGACCGTTCCGACGGCCCCCGACCCCTATCCCGAGGCGGCCTGAAGTGTCTGTCGCCGGCCTCCTCCCGGCCCAGCCTCCGGGCCTCGTGCAATCACCACGCCCCGGGGCCCGGAAACCGTTTTCCGGTCTTTCGCTTTCGGCTGGCGCGGAGCGCGGAGGCCGCGGTGCTGCGTAGCCCGGGCCGGGCGCAGGAACAGCCCCGTGGCGCCCTCCCTGGCCGCCGCCCAGGCGGGAAACGTCGTTCCGGGGACCCGGCGACTCCGCAGCGCCAGGCCCGCGAGGGGAAGGGGGCGGTGCGCGGCCGGCGCCGCCTCTCATCGCGTCCCCGCGGGCCCGCACTCGCCCGGAGCGCACCCAGCAGTCGCCAGCGAGGGCGATGGCGGGCATCTGGCTGGGGCTCGTGTGGCAGAAGCTGCTGCTGTGGGGCGCGGCGAGTGCCGTGTCCCTGGCCGGCGCCAGTCTGGTCCTGAGCCTGCTGCAGAGGGTGGCGAGCTACGTGAGGAAATGGCAGCAGATGCGGCCCATCCCCACGGTGGCCCGCGCCTACCCACTGGTGGGCCACGCGCTGCTGATGAAGCGGGACGGGCGAGGTAAGGGCCGACGCCCCTCCTGAAGCGCACCGGGGTCCGCAGCCCCGTCCCCACCCTCCGATCGGCCAGGAACCCGCTGCTTGTGGCGCTGGCCGCAGGAGAGAGGCGCCTGTCACCCTGTGGAGAAGGCGCTCCCGGTTCTGTTCGTTGCCCCTGGCACCCACCGACACGGCTAGTGCCTCATCCCAAAGTGAGCATTTTCTTTGTGTGTAGCACAGGATGCGGTGTTTCCAAACCCCCGCCCTGAGTCTTTTCCCACCTCCCTGCTGCTCAGCTCTCCAAGCCCTGCCTTTCCTCCTGCCGTGGCTTGGGAAGCCTTAGGCACAGAAGCTCCCTGGGAGCGCAAAGCGCTTGTAAACTGGCCAACACCTTAACGCTTGGGGCCGCCTCCTCTCGCTCCCACTTTGGAAAATAAGAGACTGGAGATTCATTGGAGGCTTCCTCCCAGCATCACAAGACTTGACCGCTGCTTCAGTTCCCGCTTGACCTTCATATTTTAGCCCTTTAAAGGAGGTTGCAAATAACAGTTAAGAAACTGATTTAAAGGAGGTTACAAATAACTGTTAAGAAACTGTGACTTAAAGGAGGTTACGTAATAATAGTTCAGAAACTGACGGCAGGGCCATCCGGCAAACTTCTTTGGAGGGTTTCAAACTCCTTGTTTATTAAACAGTGAATTTTTTAATTAAAATCATGTTTTGAAACAGAGATGAACATTTTATTGATGGGAAAAAAATCACTTGAAGTTGGAAAGCTCTCAAAAGTACCTGGTATTTACAGCCCCCCGTCAGGGAGGGTGAACTCAATCTCAGCGCTTCATTTTCATCAGGGGTTAAGTTGAGGTACCTAGAACTGAAAAGATTTGCCCAAAATGACATATTTTAAAATGGGCCCCGACCAGAACCCAGTTCCCTCTGGGTTTATTTGTCAGTAATTGTTCTACAGGCTGAACGTTAACTAACTCCAAAGCTTGAAGGACTTTTTCTCATTTTCACTTGTTTTCTCTAATAAAAATAACGCTGCCATTTCAGTTTCACAAGATGAGGCCTCATGGAAGAGTGTTTACCAGAATATTAAAAGTATTTTGACAGAAAAGAATCAAGCGAACTCTTTGCCAACCAAATATCATCATGACTGATGTAACAAGTAATCCAGTCCAGATATGAAAATCACACTGTTAAAAATCATCTCAGTTAATTCTAAAAGCAGAGCTAACCACACCTTTTGTCCTAAGGCTTTACGGTATTAAAAAATAATTGTACAAAAATATAGGGGAATAATATATTTAAGTCTCATCATATTCTGTTGGGGATTCCAGTAATTAAAATCTCTGGTGAATAAGACCTGTTTCAAAACAACCTGTGAGCTGACTGGACTATTTAAAGTAATTCTCCTTGCAGTCACTTTCAGAGTGAAGACAATGACAAATGCTGTCTTTTACGAAGGGACTTTTTATTCCACCAACCGATTCTGGATTTTGGCGTCAGGAAAACCACTGTTCAATTTCCAACAGTATATCCAAGTTGTTTGAGAAATTATTTAAAACTCTTTAACTTAGAGGGTTTTTCCCCCGTTAAAGTGACTATATTACAGAGTTACTTTAAGGATTAAATTTATTGCTTGCAAAGTTGCTAGATCACTGTCTAGAAGTTGGTTAGAATTGACAACTAAGTTCTTTAGTTGTCAATCAAGCATTTATTGAGGCCCTGCTTTGTGCCCAGTGTTGACCTCAACAAAGTTGGGGATACCAGAATATTCTAAGATATAGTCATTGTTCTCAAGAATCCTGTCTTTCGTGTACAAGAGGTGTTGCCTTTCGTTTCGTGGCTAATGTCCAAACGCTGGCCTCAGCCATTTCACCTTGAAGATTGCAGTTGGCTTCCAACTGGCCTCTAAACTCTAATCTAGCATTTTCCAGTCCATAATGACAATGTCTGCCTTCCCCAGCTACTCCCAACTGTGGGCCCTGCTGCCTTAGAATCACAGATTGAGACTCCCCTGTCCCCTCTGGTAGACCGGACCAGGGCAGGCAGTATGTTAGCACGACTCAGGATGATTGACACTGGTGATCTGACCCAGCTCCTTTCATACCGGTTTTGACAGCTGCTCCATCTGAGAGACATTTGGAAGTAGCACAGTGTGTGGGGAAGTTCTGGAGTCTCGGTGCAAGCCAGGTTCCACCATTTACTAGCTCTGTGATATTAGGCAGTCGTTAGAAAGAATGCGCATTCTGGGACATCAAAACCTAATAATTATTATTCTCTAATAGCTAACATGCATTATGTATGTTTATTTGCTGTGGCAAATACTATTTTGAAAAAAACTTTAGACTTACAGAAAAGTTGCAATATTACAGACAGTTCACACATGCTCTCTACCTGGCTTCCTCTAACAGTAACACATTACCGAATTAGTATATTTATCAAAATGAGAAAACAAATGTTTGTCCAATACTGGTCACAACATTCTCATCTTGATTGAATTAAAATTTTGATGTTTTTCCCCAGAATTTTTTCAGCAGATCATTGAGTACACAGAGGAATACCGCCACATGCCACTCCTGAAGCTCTGGGTCGGGCCGGTGCCCATGGTGGCCCTTTATAATGCAGAAAATGTGGAGGTGGGTACGTGTGAATACGACCATTATTGCACTGTGTATCTTACAGTGTGAGAATCTCATCAGAATCAATATAATGCATCCTTACATTTCAACCATTTCAGTGCAAAAAACATTCCATTAAGTATTTTAGACTATATAGGTGCAATTTAATGTTTTTCAGATGTAGCCTGAATCCTGGGAGATTAACACCCTCCAGATATAAGTGCACAACTGCTATCAGGTCCCGTTATATTTATTCTTTTTTTAAAAGGATATCATTTTTTTAGAAACATAAATAAATTATTCCACAAGGCGAGCACTTGTTATCCACCAGATACCATTTTAAGACTTCAAAAATATATGACTAATAAAATATGTTTTCCTCAAGTTGCTCAGGTCTCATATTATATCAATGATAAACATTATTCCAAATTTAAAAGACAATGTAAATTTGATATTTATGGGATAAATATTACAAACCGATGCTATTGAAATTAGTCCTCCAAAAAACTGTAGTCCTTTTGCTAGTTGAAAGGTCTGGGGAAATCATCTTGTAGTATGGTGAGAAAAGGATTTGGGTGAGGAAACAAAGATGGGGTAAACAGACCATTGACCAAAATTAAAGGCCAAATTTCCTAGGAAGTAGTGCCAGGACACGTCTTTCTAATTATGGTGAAAATGTTGGAGTTTCTCATGCTTCTCCAGAATCCTGGCTCAGAGAAGAGAGCGAGAAGGGCAGACAGGATTTCAGCCACTGTTGGCCTAGTGTTAATAGAAGTTGGTGTGGTGGATGCAGATGGAGAGCTGTCCAGAGTAGGGGACTCGAGCGAGAAGCCTGGTGAGCACTCTGTGCTCAGCCCTAGACCCCATCCCTCCTCCCACTTCACGTGGACTCTTGGTGATCCGATCACACTCATGGCTTCCCTTGCTGCCTCTATGCTGGGGACACTCAAACAGGCATCTCCAGCTCAGGCCGTATCTTGGCTGTCTCATTTGCTTTCAGACCACAGCAACCTGAATGCCTCAAAGTCAACATCGCCTGAAAATACACCCATGATTTCCATCTCCCCACATGTGCTCACCCTCCAGATTTGCCTCCTCCCCACCTCGCTTTCCACCTCCCCCCATTAAATAACTCCACTTGGTTCCTGGTTTATGGCAGAAACTAGAGAATTGTCTGGGTCATCTTTCTTTCTCCCAACTGCATTGAGTCCCCAAGACTGAATGCTAGTTTTATGTTCAAACTCTAATTGAAAGTCTTTGAGGCACAGGACTGAAAATGAACCACGGAGAAAATAAATGTTGCGAATGTCCTAAAAACTAGCTGTATTCTAGCCAGGTATTCCTATAATTACAGGAAGGTTGTTTGATGTCTGCATGTCTCTAAAATATGTTTTTCTCTTCCTAAGGTAATTTTAACTAGTTCAAAGCAAATTGACAAATCCTCTATGTACAAGTTTTTAGAACCATGGCTTGGCCTAGGACTTCTTACAAGGTATGCCAGTGTACCTTTGTAAAGCTGTCTATAGAAATGGTTACTTCCACCTGCAACTTGTTACTTCAGGAATTGACGCAGGGTAGCTTTTTTCTGTAGCAGGACTGTGCTGTCAGAAAGGAGGAGAAAGGCTGGAAAGGAAGGTCCAGCTGGCAGCTGCCCTTTGCCCGCCAAGAGGCCAAGAGTCGAGGTGAACGGTTATCTCCAGCTGTGGTGTTCAATAGTGTCTATCGCCAGTGTTCAGGAAGACTCAGAAGTTCCTGATGGACGGGACTGGGCAGGATGGAGGACACAGTAAAGCAAGGAGTGTCTGGAGCAGGGAAATCTTGAAAACCCAATCAAAAAGATAGCCCCAGAGAAGTACAGTGAGCTGGTATCTAGAAACAGGGTTCCATCCTCTGAGAGAGGTCCCCACAAGGGCAAGGCAGGAGCCTAGTAGGGCTTTGGAGAAGTGGAGCAGGGGAGACATCAAGGTAGAACCATGGAGAGTGAGGATCTGATGACTAAGGTACTGATGGCAGGAGAAAAAAAATTTTGTTAAAAACTTGGAACTCAGAAATTGAGAAAAATTCTTAAATTTTTCAATTTTATGAATGCTATTTTAAACATTAATATTATGGAACAATGTCCAAAATATTCATATTTTGTAACTATAGATGAATATCTTATAGATATGTGTATATCTTTGTCATTCTGCCAAAAGCATTTGAGAACCTGTAGATGAAGGTGTTTCAGGAGAATTTTGTTGACTTGCTATATTTATGCTTTAATCGTTTTGGATGTTACTTTTCTCTTTCTCTCTCTCTATATATGTATGTTTTTTGTAACCACATATTTTATTTCTAGTACTGGAAACAAATGGCGCTCCAGGAGAAAGATGTTAACACCCACTTTCCATTTTACCATTCTGGAAGATTTCTTAGATATCATGAATGAACAAGCAAATATATTGGTTAAGAAACTTGAAAAACATGTTAACCAAGAAGCATTTAACTGCTTTGTTTACATCACTCTTTGTGCCTTAGATATCATCTGTGGTGAGTCTCATCGATCTGTTTCTAAATTTATGGCATAAAGAGAAAATGGCCCAAATAGGAAATCACGCTCCACCGGGAAAGCAAATGGGGGGACTGGAAAGGGTGGTGGGCCCTTCAGAGCGGTTCTCCTGCCATGTTAGCCTTCTGAGGAGCAGCAGCCACGCCCAGGGCTGTGAGCAGGGCAGGCACGGAGCAACTGCCCAGGGAGCAAAGGGAAGGAAGAACAGGAACAGAGAGTAGAAGTGGCTGGTACAAGAGAAGGGGGTAAAGGGAGGAAGGAGAATTCTGAAAAATACAAGGACAAAGCAGGATGTACGTCTTTAGTGTCCGCCACTGCAAAATAAACACAAGATAACTAACGTGCATGAATTGAATGGTTGCTTCTCACCCATATTTTATAGAAACAGCTATGGGGAAGAATATTGGTGCTCAAAGTAACGATGATTCCGAGTATGTCCGTGCAGTTTATAGGTAAATGGAGTCCTTTCAGTTATTTCAAAAATTATTGATTTGGACTTTAAAAATTATCGCTAACAATTTCTGTGTTGTATCTTTTTATGGTTTCAAAATTAACCATTAAACTAGAAGTTAACCTCATCATGTAAGCATGTGTTAAGCAGTAGAGTAAAGGTTATATAAATTATGTCACATCTAGATTATGCAGTAATTTAAAATGATTATTCTCTAACATTGAGATTACATTATATTGTACATGATGATGCTTACATTGTGATGCTGAGAAAAAGATATAAACAGTTTTCTGCACTATGATAATTGTTATATTTAAAAATTGTTATATTCAAAGAAAACTAGCAGATACTATAACCAAATGTTAGCCGTGGTTCTCATTGTCTCGTGTATGTGTATCTTATTCTTGTGCTTTCCTTTTGTTGTTATTCTTCTTTCTCATATTTTCTGCACCCAGTAGGTATTGTTTTAGTCATCGAAACAGTCAATTTTACTCTAAAATTGCTTGCAATTATTCACCTGTTAAGAGGCAGGGCAAGGACTTGAGGAAGTACAGAGAAGTGCACTGAGCTGAGTACATTTAAGTCTCTTGCTCATTTCACTTCATTTTAACCAACATTTATTAAGCATCTGCGATCTTCCAATCACTGCACAGGGTACTGACTGGTTTTGTAGTAGTACACAAAACAGAATAACACAGGAGTCAGGCATCGGACAAAGAAATTCATGAATTGTAATAACTGCTCAGGAAGAAAAGATCAAATTGATATCGGAGAGGAAAACAAGAAAGTGTCCTACAGAGTGAGAGGCCAGCAAAGGTCTTTCTGAAGAACCGGCGTCTCAGCTGGTCCTGCAGGAGCTCACGTAGGGGCCTTTCTGCTCTATGGCTGGACATGAAAGGGAAGGGCCAGAACAGCCAAGTGACAGCTGGGTACTTCGAGAGCCCTCGCTGGTAGAAGAGGGCAGCCAGTTGTCTTCTGTCCCTCCAGAGGAGCGGTCAAACCAATGATGGACCTTAAAAGGAGGCCGATTTCATCTCAGCCCTTGGTACAGAGGCCCTAGGCAGAGTGGAAAACTCGCCCTGGAGAAACAGAAGCAGAGGCCAGATGGCTATCTAGTAAGAATGTTTTATAATGGATTCTTCATTCCTTTAATGAATCCATTATTTTCTCAGGCTTCATGGGATGCATAATAGCCCGTACCTTCACTGTTGAGCGTAAAGCATGGAGCTCTTAGTAGCCTCTGAGACAGTCATCATCATTTCCACGATTGCCTTCATCAAGGCTAGGTACCAAAGAAGGACTCAATAAATACACCTTTCTGATACAACAGCTGATGTATTTTTTTCCCATCTATAGAATGAGTGAGATGATATTTCGAAGAATAAAGATGCCGTGGCTTTGGCTTGACCTCTGGTACCTTATGTTTAAAGAGGGATGGGAACACAAAAAGAGCCTTAAGATCCTACATGCTTTTACCAACAATGTAAGTCCCTGACTTTTAAAATTGTGGTAAAATAGACAAAACATAAAATTTTCCTTTACAGCCATTTTAACTGTACAGTTTGGTGGTATTAAGTGCATTCACGATGTTGTGCAACCATGCCCACCATCCATTTCCAGAACTTTTGGTAAGTCCATGATGTCGATGTTTTGTTAACATACTCGGTGTAGGACTATTGAGCCTATATCTCAGAAAATAAAAGTTGAATAATAATAGAAAAAATTATTTAGCATATTTATACTTAAATTATGTATTTGACAAATATTAATTAAGTGCTCGCTAAGTGCCAAACACCATACCAAATGTTGGAAATTTAGTAATGAGTAGGACATGTGTATATGATCCCTACCTGAAAGGAAGTTATTCTAGTAAGAGAGGTCATCTATCAACACATAATTACAACATGTGACATGAACTATGAACACTTATTAACAAACAGGGTGCTGTGTAAAAGAATAAAGAAACGAATATCTGTGTATAGGAGTTTTCTGGAAAATGTTTGGATTCGGCAGTCATTTTCAAAGGCAGGGGGCATTGATAGCAGTATCTTAACGTGGAAAACATTAAAATTAACTAGATATTAGTATTTTATTTCCAATTCAAAAATAACCAGAAGATAGTGATGTTGTTTTGAATATAGGATGTCAATCTTTGTGTTAATAATGTGTTTTGAAAAAGCAAGATTTAATTGAAAATATACGTCAAATTGTAATTTCAATGTATTGAAAAAAAGCCTATATAAATATGTCCTTTCTTTGCTGTAAATTTTGGTTAAAATCTATTGGAATTACGTCCTTGTGGTGAAGTATATACCCTATCGCAAGAGAGCAAATGATAAATAAATCAGTAGACGCTCCGTGAATGCAGTGTTGGCTGAGCTCGCCACAGTGGAGTGTGATCACCTGGTTATAGGAGAATAGCCAGCAGGTTATATTTCATAGTTAAATTTTTCCTTAAATTTTGTGCATTAATATTTAATAGCAATAATTAAATGAATTCCTGACTGAATGGACAATATTTTATTCATTTAATAAACATTAAGAATTGCCTACTGAGGCCTGGGCTGTAAGAATTCCACCAAGAATAAAAGAAGACATGGTGTTTTGCCCTCAAAGAGCTTAGAATCTATTTAGGCCACTTAGTAGCAGGTTTGGTCAATTACCTGGTAGGAAAAGAAGGCTGAAATGTACAACCAAATTAAGCGTATGGGCCTTCATTCTTTTATCCATTCAAGAAATATCTAGTGAGTTCAAGCCGTACTCTATATATCAATGAACAAAGACATGCACAAGCATGGCAGAATTTGAGTTGGAAGAGAAAGAGGCTAAGTAACAAGTATAAGTATAATATCACATATAATAATAAGCATATTAGAAGTATCACATAATGTCAGGTGGCAAGGGAAATGGAGAAAAATAAAGCAGTGTTAGGAAGCATCGTAATGCTAGGGACGGGATGGCAAGGATGACGGAGGTCTCTCTGATCGTGTGACAGTGAGCAGAGATCTGGAAGAAGGGAAGGGGCAGCCATGCAGGCCTCTGAGGAAAGCATTTCAGGCAGCAGGAATTGCAAGCATAGAGGGTGAATTCACTAATCTACTTGCTGTTTCTTTTCTCCCCTACAACATGTAATTAAGTCTATAATGAGAGTATTGTATAATGACTGCATTCACTCCACCACTTAAACTTTTTCTCATTAGCACGATCAAATCTCTAGGGTACTATCTAGTAGACTATGATTCTATTCTTGTGTTGAAAAGACAGCAAAAATAGCACTTGAAAATTAGGAATTTGAGTGACATTACATTTGTTTTTAAAAGTTTCACCAAATAATCCCCAAAATATTAATGAGGCTTTACTGTGTTTTCACAAGAGCCTATGTTGTCGAAATGTTGAAATAGAAAGGCTTGGAAAAAATAAATGAAAGAAACTAGCATATTTTATAAGAAAATGTGTTACCAGCGTGCATCCAAGTTCAAACAGAAGCATGTGATTATCATTCAAATCGTACAGGTTATCGCTGAACGGGCCAATGAAATGAACGTGGATGAAGACTGTAGAGGTGATGGCAGGGACTCCGCCCCCTCCAAAAATAAACGCAGGGCCTTTCTTGACTTGCTTTTAAGTGTGACTGACGACGAAGGGAACAGGCTAAGTCATGAAGATATTCGAGAAGAAGTTGACACCTTCATGTTTGAGGTATTGCATATTGTTATGTTCAGATATCATTAAACACATTTCAGTTATTGTTGGAATCTTTAGCATTATTTTTTAAAACGTAATCAAATTTTAAAGTCGTTTACTGTAACTGAGGAAGATTCATTATATTTTAATTAGAAATTACAAAATTTAAGAAACTGATTAACTCAACTTCCTTCTTCAGAAAACGATTTTGACTAGTGCTGGGCACAGCAGTAGACGCATTTGTTTTCCCTCAAGAAAACCTAAGACTTGTCAGAGTTTTCCCAAGCGGAAGAGCAGCCAGAGATCGTTGCTCTCGGTTCTCCACGTGGCTTCAGATTTCTTGCCAACCCCCGAGACCCACAAGTCCCCTTCCTCACCACCTCCTTTCTGAGGTTCCAGCAGATGAGCGCTTCGCTACTGCCATGAGCTGCTCTCCCGAAAGAGGACGGTGAGAGCCCTCCCACAGAGAATCGGCCAGTTCATGATTCTGAAGAGACCTCTGATCTCAAATTCATACAGATATATGAAGTGCTTTTTACAAAGATAGCTTAAATATTAAATACTACAAAGAGAGACTTTCTCTTTATGTGGATTGCAAAATAGATAAAGCGTGGTGTTTAGAAGCCATGCAGTAATATCCTCCACGTGGAGCAGAGTGAAAGGCACCTGAGTTGTTTTATTGTTTTTGAGACGGAGTCTCGCTCTGTCGCCCAGGCTGGAGTGCAGTGGCCGGATCTCAGCTCACTGCAAGCTCCGCCTCCCGGGTTCCCGCCATTCTCCTGCCTCAGCCTCCCGAGTAGCTGGGACTACAGGCGCCGCCACCTCGCCCGGCTGAATTTTGTGTATTTTTAGTAGAGATGGGGTTTCACCGTGTTAGCCAGGATGGTCTCGATCTCTTGACCTCCTAATCCACCCCCCTCGGCCTCCCAAAGTGCTGGGATTACAGGCGTGAGCCACCGTGCCCGGCCAGGCACCTGAATTTTTAATGGCTCTGCCTGCCACCCACGTGTTAGCTGCTCTGTGGCAGCCTCTGGCAGCAGTGCCAAGCGTGTGCACTCTGGTGTGAGGCTCCACGACACGGTAGAAAAAACTGTGTGAAGGGTCTTTAGATCCGAGTTCCAGTTCAGGCTCTGTGCTGATGAGCCAAATAAGATGGTTCTGATCATTCCAGAGCGCTTTCACAATTTTCCTATGTGTAAAGAGAGAGATGGGCTACACTGGCAGTTTTAAACTTTTTAAAGCAGAAAACTTTACTGAAAATAAATCTGAAGCAGAAAGTGGACATGTAAATTAGCTGAAAAGTAGACAGGTGTTAAGCGTGTGGGCTCTAAGACCACATCCCAGCTAACACGCTGGAACCATGACCTCAAGCACCTCACCCAGCCGTTCTGGGCCTGAATATTCTTATTTTAATAGCACAAGCCTCATGGAGTAGTTATGATGATTAGATTTGTAAAAGTGCCCTGAGAATCGTGATTGGCCCATAAGAAGAATGCAGCACATACCAGGTGTCATTTGATGTTGAAGTGGAGAGCCTTCTCACATCTTCACCTTGCCCATGTACACACATGTGCACACACACATGCATACACTCATGTACACCCATGCACAAACACACATGCACACGTCTACACACACACATGCTCATGCACATACACACACATGCACAGACACATGTATATACCCACAAACACATTCACATATACACACATACACAAATGTATGCACACACCTACATACACTCATGCACATACACACATGCATGCACACACATACACAAACGTGTATATCCACATGCACACACACGTGTATACAAACACACACAAATATACACACACACCCAGATACTCATGCACTTACACATGCATGCACACACATATATACCCATATGCACACATGCATGCATACACATACATGCACACACCACCACACACACGTGCACACATTCATGTACATTTATGCAAATAATCACACATACAAAAACACACGTACAGACCTACATACACACATGCACATAGACACATACACATACATAGATGCACATATAAATACACATGCACACAGTCAGATGCACAAAGCCATGTACACTCGTGTATACATAAACACAAATGCACACACAAGCACATGTACATAGCCATGTACACACATGCATATATGCACACACCCCCATACACACATGTACACACATGTGCACACACACATCCATCTCCTACCAGGAACCTCTCAATCTCACGAAAACAACCAGAACCAGACTAATGATTTCTCTTCCAACTCTAACATTCCCTAACATTCTAATTCTTTTCTTCTTTGCATTGAAAGGGAGGCATAGCCGGTGTGAGTGTGATACTGTGGCCTCCTCCACAGGCTGGTCAATTTTTAATGCAGAGGATATGACTTAGAACCACACCTCTACCCCACCGGTGCCCGCCATCAACAGGCAAGGCCCACCTGACAGATGGGGGAAGGCAGAGAAGTACAGACCTGACAAGCAGGCTCATGAAAATCAGACTTCGTTCTATTCACAAAGGCCCAGCTCGCCTAGTGCCCGTGCAATGCCCCCTTTGTTAACACAGCACAGGCACGTCCCACCAGTGCGCACCACCATGCGGCGCAGAACTGTCATCTCTAGGCATGAACCTCCGCTTTTCAGGGACTATTTCCTTGTTTATCACCGAGGTAAGGTGCTGCACGGAATTCATTTCTTATGTTCTGCAGTCACAGTGCAGCCATCAAATCTGGAGACAATTCAAAAGAGGTTTCTGGTCACTCCCGATCATCGCAGTGTAACTCTGCTTTTTCAGCTACTGTTTTCTCCATTTGTAGGGCCACGACACAACTGCAGCTGCAATGAACTGGTCCTTATACCTGTTGGGGTCTAACCCAGAAGTCCAGAAAAAAGTGGACCATGAACTGGATGACGTGTTTGGTATGTCTGGCCCCTTCCCTGGTTATATTGTGGTACTAAGTCCCCTGCAGAGATGTCACTGTGTTGTAAACACAGCGTAATGAGCAGGGAGGCTCCCCCGCGGGATCCTTTCCAGTACCATCCCCTTTGCAAGGCCTCATCCATTCACCCACAGGCCTCTGCCAGTCGCCTGGCCAGTGACCGTACTGGGCCGGATGCTGCGGTGCACAGATGTGTGCTGCCGTCCTCAAGGGTCTCACTGCTTCCCAGGCAAAACAGACACCTACGTGAAGCTTTGAGTCATGGGCTGTGCATTTGAATGAAGAAGGTGCTCTTTGGGAGAAACGAGGAGCTGGTGAAACTATCCAGAAGGGTACAGGAAAGCTGTTTCACAGATTGCATCTTGCCACAAAGGAGAGAAAAGATGGATTAAGCTACCAGGAGATACATTTCTATTATACAGCAAGCAACCGGAGGAAACGTCCTGCCAGTAGGATGTGCAGGGTCCCAGCCTTGCCCTTTGCTCCCTGCCCCTTACCGTCTTGGCTTTTGTTCTCTTGATTGGCGTTCCGAGCATCACATTCATCTTCAAGGCAGGAAGACGGGGTGGGGGTGCCGGGTGTCTTGGTGTCCTGTGGCTGCTGTGACAAATCCACAGACGGGGAGGTTCACAGCAGCGACATCTGTTCCCTCACAGTTCTGGACACCTGAGTCAAAGATCAGTGTCACTGAGCCCACATGACCGTGTGGGCAGCGCTGAGCTCCTCCTCGCCTCTTCAGCTTCCGGTGGCTGCCAGCGTTTCTTGGCTGACAGCTGCATCGCTGGCATCTCTGCCAGTCTCTGCATTGCCTTCTCTTTTCTCTGCGTGTGTGTGTGTGCACACACGTGCATGCGTGTGTGGTGTGTGTGTGCATGTGTGTGTACTTGTGTCTTTCTCTCACAAACATACTTGTGACATACTTGTGATGGCGTTCAGGGCCCACTTGGATCATTGCCCCACTATAAGATCTTTAATTTAATCAAATCTGCCAAGAATTCTCTTCTTCCAAATAGGGTAACATTTACAGATTGCAGGGATTAAGACCTGATATTTTGGGGCCCATTATCAGCCTGCCACAAAGGGGCTTCCATCAATTTTATCCTTTTTGAAAATCACGTGTCACATGGCCCCCAATAGCTGCAAGGCGAAAAGGAATAAAGTTGAGTTAGCCGAGCAGCCAGTGGTATCTGATGCAGTTTTATAGCGAGAAGAGGGGAAGGAAAACTACAGGTATAAAGGTGGCGAGAGAAGGCGTTCTAGAAAGAGAGGAAGCAGATGAGCAACAGCGCAGAAATGGAAAGGGTTCTGGTCTGGAGGGCAATAGTGGAGAGTGAGAGACCGCGAGAACTCATCTCTCATTCCCTGGGAGATGAGGATGGAAAAGCAGTTTTGTGTGCAGATTGTGCCGGGACTGGAATTTCATATTAAGAGGCAAGCTTTTATTTTGCAGAATGGACACCTTCTAAACCTTTTGGCAACATTTTTGTCATCATTTTATTTTTTTTACACTGATTTTAGTTTTGCTTAGATTGCCTTGAGTGGGTAAATTTAGTCTTCTAAAAGCTCACAAGTTCTTTTGGAATAGGCTCCAATCTTCTGTATCCTCTACAATGTTTAGTTCATTGCCAGTTTCACAAAGGTTTGGTCCTGCAGAATCAGTGACACAGTCATCATTACTAGAATCTTTGCTCTGTGCTTCTCGTGTTTTCTGCTTATTGTGCCTCACTTTTTCTTCTACCCCCAATCCTAGTTCTACAATTTTTGAGCAACTAGACTGGGCATGGTGGCTCACACCTGTAATCCCAGCGCTTCAGGAGGCTGAGGTGCGCGGATCACAAGGTCAGGAGATGGAGACCATCCTGGCTAACACGGTGAAACCCCGTCTCTACTAAAAATACAAAAAATTAGCCTGGCGTGGTGGTGGGCATCTGAAGTCCAGGCTACTCGGGAGGCTGAGGCAGGAGAATGGCATGAACCCGGGAGGCGGAACTTGCAGTGAGCCAAGATTGCGCCACTGCACTCCAGTCTGGGCGACAGAGCGAGACTCCATCTCAAAAATAAAAAAAGAAATTCTTTTTTGAGTAACTAATCTTTGTGTAGTGAGTTGCAAGTATTAATTCCTTGTTATTTTTTTACTGAGGTAAATGTCACATAATGTAAAATCTGCTATTTAAAAGTGTACATTTCAGTGGCATTTAGTACTTTCACCATGTTGTACAATAGTTACGTCTACCTAATTCCAGAACATTTTCAGCACCTCGAAAGGAAACCTGGTGCGATTAAGCAGTCCCTCTTGATTCCTCCTTCCCCCGGCCCTGGCAGCCTCTGATTTACTTTCTGTCTCTGCGGATTTACCTATTCTGAGTACTATTTATACATGGATTCGTACAATATGTGATCTTTAGTGTCTATTCATTTTACTTGGCATATTGCCTCATTTTATTTTGATTATGCATAGTGTTAGAAATTCTGCTTTAGCTGTGGGTATTTAGCATCTGGTGCATTCATCCACATGTTCTTCTTTGATGGGTATTTGATGGGTATTTAGCATCCCCTGCCTTGATCCACATGTTCTTCTTTGATGGATATTTGATGGGTATTTAGCATCCAGTACCCTGATCCACGTGTTCTTCTTTGATGGGTGTTGATGGGTGTATAGCATCCAGTACCTTGATCCACGTGTTCTTCTTTGATGGGTATTTGATGGGTATTTAGTATCCCCTGCCTTGATCCACATGTTCTTCTTTGATGGGTATTTGATGGGTATTTATCATCCAGTACCTTGATCCACGTGTTCTTCTTTGATGGGTATTTGATGAGTATTTAGCATCCAGTACCTTGATCCATGTGTTCTTCTTTGATGGGTATTTGATGGGTATTTAGCATCCAGTACCTTGATCCACGTGTTCTTCTTTGATGGGTGTTGATGGGTGTTTAGCATCCAGTACCTTGATCCACGTGTTCTTCTTTGATGGGTATTTGATGGGTATTTAGTATCCCCTGCCTTGATCCACGTGTTCTTCTTTGATGGGTATTTGATGGGTATTTAGTATCCCCTGCCTTGATCCACATGTTCTTCTTTGATGGGTATTTGATGGGTATTTAGCATCCAGTACCCTGATCCACGTGTTCTTCTTTGATGGGTATTTGATGGGTATTTAGCATCCAGTACCTTGATCCACGTGTTCTTCTTTGATGGGTATTTGATGAGTGTTTAGCATCCAGTACCCTGATCCATGTGTTCTTCTTTAATGGGTATTTAGCATCCAGTACCTTGATCCACATGTTTTCTTTGATGGATATTTGATGGGTATTTAGCATCCAGTACCCTGATCCATGTGTTTTTCTTTGATGGATATTTGATGGGTATTTAGCATCCAGTACCCTGATCCACGTGTTCTGCTTTGATGGATATTTGATGGGTATTTAGCATCCAGTACCCTGATCCACATGTTCTTCTTTGATGGATATTTGATGGGTATTTAGCATCCAGTACCCTGATCCATGTGTTCTTCTTTGATGGGTATTTAGCATCCAGTACCTTGATCCACGTGTTTTCTTTGATGGATATTTGATGGGTATTTAGCATCCCCTGCCTTGATCCACGTGTTCTTCTTTGATGGATATTTGATGGGTATTTAGCATCCAGTACCCTGATCCACATGTTCTTCTTTGATGGATATTTAATGGGTATTCAACATCCAGTACCCTGATCCACTGGTTCTTCCTTGATGGGTATTTGATGGGTATTTAGCATCCAGTACCCTGATCCACGTGTTCTTCTTTGATGGGTATTTGATTGGTATTTAGCATCCAGTACCTTGATCCACGTGTTCTTCTTTGATGGGTATTTGATGAGTGTTTAGCATCCCCTGCCTTGATCCACGTGTTCTTTTTCAGTATGTGAACCCCTGGCCCCCACCGCTCTTTCAGGTCATCTTATCTCGTTGCTTTCATCAGGGAGGACTGACCGTCCCGCTACTGTAGAAGACCTGAAGAAACTTCGGTATCTGGAATGTGTTATTAAGGAGACCCTTCGCCTTTTTCCTTCTGTTCCTTTATTTGCCCGCAGTGTTAGTGAAGATTGTGAAGTGGGTAAGTATGCTATACCTAGAGTAGAAGGAAGAGGGAAACTTTCTAATGTCTGTCTTGCTATGGTCTCATGACGTATTGACTACTTCTTGACAGCAGGTTACAGAGTTCTGAAAGGCACTGAAGCCGTCATCATTCCCTATGCATTGCACAGAGATCCAAGATACTTCCCCAACCCTGAGGAGTTCCGGCCTGAGCGGTTCTTCCCCGAGAATGCACAAGGGCGCCATCCATATGCCTACGTGCCCTTCTCTGCTGGCCCCAGGAACTGTATAGGTTTGTATCCATCTCAGTTGGTTTGACCTTTCAGGCCCACTTGATAGTAGGTTTCTTACAGTTATTTCTCTGAGATGTGATATGATGTTGCCCACATGCAATAACCTTAAAAAAATAGCTGGTTCCTTTTTTCCCTGACTTACTGTGCTTTGTAGTTTTAAAATATTATGGTCAAAAGGTATATTAGTATATTAGCCTGCGTGGGCTTCCATAGCAAAATACCACAGACTGGGTGGCTTAAACAGCAGATATTTATCTTCTCACAGTTTTGGAGGCTGGAAGTTCAAGATCAAGGTGTTGGTAGGTCTGGTTTCTCCTGAGGCCTCTCTCCATGGCTTGTAGATGCCGTCTTCACCTCATGTCTTCACTTGGTCTTTCCCCTGTGTAGGTCTGTGTCCTGATCTTCTGTCCAGTCAGACTACTCTAGGGCCTACCCCAATGACCTCACTTATACTTACTGACCTCTTTCAATGACCTGTCCCCAAATACAGTCATATTCTAAGGCACGGGGGGCTTAGAATTTGGAGAGAGACACAATTACCCATAGCATAAGACATAATTAGTTTCATGGTAGAGTTTCAAAATGTTGTAGATTTTTAATTACAGTAGAATATCTTATTGTGGTAAAAACTTTATTTATGATTACTTATGGTTAACCTAATTTTTGTGTTTATTGCTTTTAAGAATTTCATTTTACAAATCAAAACAGAAAATGCTTGCCATATGGCCAGCTGAAGTACTTAAGCAAAATGAATGCACATCACTGCCCTGCATTATAAACCCTTTTGGTTTTAGTATCTCTAGCATTTTGTCATTTATGTAAATGCAGACCTTGGTAAAATGAGGACAGAATGAAATGGGTGAATCTGAAGCTTATTTGGTGAATCTATAGTAAATTAAACACCCACTAAGGCATAATCTAGAGTAGTGAGTCTCAAGCTTGAATGAGCTCAGGATTTATCTGGATCAGCTGGAGTACAAATTCCCTGGTCCTCCCCAGCTATAGATATGCAAAGTGGGAGCAGGGAGGGAAACTCAAGACTCTTCATTTTTAACAAGTGTCCCAAGCCATTCTGATTCTCCTTCCGCCTACTCTGAAAATGTAAAATGGCTTGCTTCCTGTGATAGGACCTCTTGTTTCTCACATTTGGGGTAAATCCATATCTAAAGCGATGGTATCTACATTGATTTGAAGGTCAAAAGTTTGCTGTGATGGAAGAAAAGACCATTCTTTCGTGCATCCTAAGGCACTTTTGGATAGAATCCAACCAGAAAAGAGAAGAACTTGGTCTAGAAGGACAGTTGATTCTTCGTCCAACTAATGGCATCTGGATCAAGTTGAAGAGGAGAAATGCAGATGAACCCTAACTATATTATTGGGTCATGCCTTTATCATGAGAAAGGTCTTTATTTTAAGAGATCCTTGGCATTTACAATTTATAGATCATGAGTTCAATATGCTTGAATTCCCTAGACCTAATTTTTCCTTGATCCCACTGATCTTGACATCGAGTCTAACAAAGAAAGAGTTTTGAGTTTTGTATTTTCTTTTCTTTTCTTTTTTTTGGGACCGAGTCTCACTCTGTCGCCCAGGCTGAAGGAGTATAGTGGTGTGATCTCGGCTCACTGCAACCTCCAACTCCCAGGTTCAAGTGATTCTTCTGTCTCAGCCTCCCAAGTAGCTGGGATTACAGGCGCCTGCCACCACACCTGGCTAATTTTTTTTGTATTTTTGGTAGAAACAGGGTTTCGCCATGTTGGCCAGACAGGTCTCGAACTCCTGACCTCAAGTGATCCACCCGCCTCAGCCTCCCAAAGTGCTGGGATTACAGTCGTGAGCCACCACGCCCGGCCAGAGTTTTGTATTTTCATCACCATCATAGATGTTACAGTTGGCTGTGGTCTCAAAAGTAGAGTTAAGTGTGTCAGTACCCAAATAAACATCTAACAGGTTTCTCAACAGAGGAATCCACAGTCCAATTCCACTTCAATTGATAGACCCCAAAAATATAATTTAATCAAAGTTCTAGAATTTTTGTTTGTTTGTTTGAGACAGAGTCTCGCTCTGTCGCCCATGCTGGAATGCAGTGGTGACATCTCAGCTCACTGCAGCCTCCATCTCGCAGGTTCAAGCAATTCTCCTGCCTCAGTCTTCTGAGTTGCTGGGGCTACAGGCGCATGCCACCACGCCCAGCTAATTTTTTTATTTTTAGTAGAGATGGGGTTTCATCATGTTGGCCAGGATGGTCTTGATCTGTTGGCCTCGTGATCTGCCTGCCTTGGCCTCCCAAAGTGCTGGCATTACAGGCATGAGCCACTGCGCCTGGCCCAAAGTTCTAGAATTTTTTAAAGGTATTCATGTTGACTCAGGAATACACAGACACACACACACACACACACACACACACAGCATAATTTGAAAGAGGTAAGTACTCTGACTTAGGCTCTCAGGTTTTAAAAATTATATTAGTGGCATCAGTTATGACAAGAATAATCATCATAGTACTTTTCAGATTTTATAACCTAGAGCAGATTATTTACAAGTTGATTTGCAGGTTCTGTTACAGTTTCTCTTTTGATTGTCACTTATGGTCTTCATTTAATTCCTCATAGAATCCCAATCACCTTTATATATTATTGGAAGAGATTCATCTTCATAATCTCCAACTTTTCACAGTGCCTCACAAGGTTAATCATGCCTTTTGGAGCTAGGACTTTAGAATGTGTCTAGTTATGCTCCTTTATATTATAAGTAAGGGAATAGAATCAGTAAGACAGTTTCTGCCCAAAGCAATGTTACCAGTTGGTGACAGAGCCAGAAATACATAGAGATCTATACTCTAAATCTCTCCACTCACATGCTGATATACTTTCTACTACAGTATGCTGTATGGAACTCAGGGTGATGAGCAGACGTGTCATTAGAACATGAGTCTTCTGCTTCTGATTTAGGCATACTTCTGGGATTCTTCCATCTTTAAAGGAAAAAGGAAGCCATTCCTCTGTATTTAGTGACCCAGTAATATCTCACTTAGTTTAGGGTTAGACCTTTAGTTAATTCAACCCTACAGATCATACTTATCAGGCTGATAACTGACACATATTCCCTGAATTTTAATTTGATAGGCAATACACCTACCCACTCCATTATTTTTTTAAAACTTCATTTAATAATTTAAACAAGATTGGTTTTGTTTTCAATTTTTATTCATTCTTCATAGAATCACAATTACCTTAATCATATATTTTTGGAAGAGATTCCTCAGTAACTGCCAATCTCTCATAGTGCCTCACAGGGTTGATCAATGGCTTTTGGAACTGGAAGGACCTTAGAACTTTCCTGGTTATGCTCCCAATAGGCAATAGCAGATAGAACCATGCAATCAAGAGGGTAGGATATGTATTCTTCAATGGATATCAAAGGAAGAGGTTGCAAACCAAAGCCATTTGGCAAGCCCTGTAGCCTGGGCCATTTAAGGCGGGGGCAATCTCAGCCATTGCACCCATTTAACTATCCCTAAAAGCCACAGTGCATAGAACCCAGGCCCTAAATTGGTGAGGAAAAAGTCAAGGAAGGAGGTGACACAATTGGAAATATTCCCGTCAAATGGTTAATCTTGTTATCTAGAAAATGGGTATATTAGAAAATTTTCTTCCGAGATGATTTTGGATAATAAGAGTTGTATTTGTGGAAATTGGTCTTATCTCTGTTTTATGCACTTAGATTTATCCCTTACATTTTGTTTTTAGTGACCCTACATGACATTAAATTTAAAGAAAACATTGCTTAATGTTACCTTTTGGTCTGAGAACTTCATTCAGCTCCAGAATTATTGTTACTCACATTTTAATCAGTAAGTCATTTAAGCTATGACAGAGTAGGAATTGAGAAATTATTTCATGTGCTGCAGTATTGAAATGTGGATGCTTCCTTGTTTTATAAGAAGATGATCAAGTATCTGTTTGTGTGCCCATTACCTTTCTTCTGCTTGAAAGACGTGTCTCAAGAAAAATAAATTATATTTTAGATGCAGGTGCTGCATTTTATTCTAAGAATTGATATCAATTGAAAACATAGAAAGCTGTAAAAGATAAATCAGTGGGTGGCTGATTCATAATGGGTAATAAAAGAAATAGCACTTTTGAGTTGATGTCTTCAGTGACTCTTGGATTTTCTAACGAAAGGTTCCTGTACTGTTGTTGTAGACCAATCGTGAATTTCTCTAACCCTGAAGAATCAACTAGAAGAAGTAGAATAACCAGAACATATTGCTCAGCTGAAAGCACAAAGTAAACTCAGCTACTGGGAATCAGTAAAATCCACAGGCATCACTGGTCCCGGGGATTTAGAGTCCAGACACCTCTCCAGGTGATGGACTGTTGATCTGGGGTTCTGTGCATTGTCACAGGCAGCTGGGGATGTCAGTTTCCAGACCAAATGACCCAACAAGAGATGCTGGTCATAAAAATCCATTTTTATCTGGAATGTTTCTAGAAGATCAAAACATTTTTCCTTCCAGCATCTAATGCCTGAGTGATACATTTAAACATTTTTAGTCTGCCTAGGCACCCTCTTTTTCTAGGAGCAGCACTCTTTATTTTTGAAATTATCCTACAATGAATTACCGGTTTTTCTTCTGTTCTTATCTTTTTCCTTCTCCAACATACACACACTGTAAATATGTGGTTTCAATTGGAGCTGCCATGGTCTTAGGCAATCCCGCTTTCTCAACCTTTGTTGAGTGACCCAAGCAAGGTTAAATTCAAGTTCTCCCCCACGAGTTTTCCCAGTTGCAATTGAAGAAGAGATACAATCTCTGTGGTGGAAACTCCACGTTGTGAAACTCAAGATCAATCAGCAGTAGAATCTCTGGAGCAGCTGCTGGGTGATGAGTAGAGAAAAAGCAGGCAGAAGAAATGACCAGAATCCTGGAGGAGTCTGCGTCCCACGTGGCAGGTGATGCTGAGGCTCACTGCATGTCTGCCCTGGCCACCGTGCGGTGGGTCTACCCTATGTGGGAACCCAAGAGCCAATATATTGCCATTTGCTTACAAGGACTGTCTTTCATTTATGACTAAAAGCAACTTAGTGTGTGTCAGGTCAGCCGCAGGATGAAGGAAGGGCCCCCATTCTCTGGATATGATCTTAGGTCTTCACCCTATTTTCTTTGTGCTGTTCAATAATTCTCTAGATTGGATTATCAGCATATATGCCCACCAGTCATTTAAATGCAATACCATTTAAGAAAATGCAGAGTTTTCTCCTTTCTAGATAGTAGGAAAATTAAAGTTACAGTGCATTATTTTAGAATACAGCTAGGCTTAACCTAACACATCAGTCCAGTTTTTTGGTTCTGCCTTGATGACTCTCCGGACTAATTAGTCATTTTTCTCCTTCTCTAATTAAACCAAGTTCATTTTCCTGTTGGCTACCTGTATGTCACATTTCAGGGATAAATCTCTCATCCTTAATTACTGAAATGGACTGGTTGCATTCTTGCCTCAGTTTCTTGTCCAGAAGTTCACTAACTGGTTATTTCCTTGGGCCAAATTCAGTTTTGGAATGAACTCCAGTCTTCAGCTGTTGATTTTGTTCTCTTTATCCTAGTAGATAAATTTTTGGCACATTCTTTCTCCTTCCCATTGTTATCTCTCCTCTTTACCCATCACTTTCTTTCTGTTGGGGTTTGGATTTATTGATCTCAGCCTTTCCTGATACTACTCAATTTATGTTTCACAGAAATAAAGGCTATACTTAAATGAAACTCAGATTCCTATATACAAATGTTGTGATAACTTGTTTCCTTCAATAAGGGTCACACAGATAGTATAGATCTTATCGGGAAGAAAAATTATCACAATATTTAGACATGACGGTCTTATTTTAAAAATGTTTTCAGTTTACTTTCAGATTCCATATATAGTTTTAAAATACATGTTTTAGTTGAAGAGTAAAAAAAAAAGTGTAAGCACAGGAGTGTCATTGGGCACTCCTCGGAAGGAGAGCAGCCCTTTTTTTTGTTTTTTTTTTTCCTTCCTTCCTTCCTTCCTTCCGTCCTTCCTTCCTTCCTTCCTTCCTTCCTTCCTTCCTTCCTTCCTTCCTTCCTTCCTTCCTTCCTCTCTCTCTCTCCTTTCTTTCTTTCCTTTTTTTTTTCTATATTCTACCTCTAGGCTTTGCCTCCTTGCTTGCTCAAGTCAAGCCCAAGTTCTAAGTTTTATGCTTATGGAAATACAGTAAATTAAGGCATTTATTTATTCATTTATTTAATTTTATTTTTTGAGACAGGGTCTCACTCTGTCATCCAGGCTGAGTTGCAGTGATGCAATAGTGGCTCACTGCAACCTTCACCTACTGGGCTCAATGGATCATCCCACCTCAGTCTGCTGAGTAGCTAGGACTACAGGTGCATGCCACCACGCCTGTCTAATTGTTGTATCTTTTCTTGTACAGTTAGGGTTTTGCCGTGTTTCCCAGGCTAAATTAAGACATCTAAATCACTCAGGCACAACTAATTTTTTCATATTGCCACATCCTCCTATGAGAGGGATTGTGCTTCAGTCTTTTCAGCTGTCTATGCCTTAATTGTGACTCCCATCAATAATGCTTGATGTTGTAGCCAGCATTGGTTTGTTATTACCAAAAGCAATGCTGTTCTGGAAACACAAGGACAGCAGTGTCTCATGTGATGCAATTGGACAGAACCTCAAGAGGACATTTGCTCCCACCAAAGGGCATTCAGCAGAACAAGGACCAATCAGAATTCATCCGACAATGATGTTCAGTGTCATCTGACACCGGCAGGTCATAGCTTACATGTGTGATTGTGCCTCTCATATGAGAATGAGATGGTCCACAACTGTGGGTGAAGGAACCTTCCTGTTCTCAATCTCTTGTTTTTTAAAAATATTTCATTCCTTATTCATGTGCTTATTTATTTATCATTTTACTCTTTCATTCATAAAAGTCTGCCAAATGCTATTCAGGGAACTAGGGAAAAACAAGAAGCAAGCCC